TGATGGATGCGTGGGGAGGTCGGAGTCAATGATGCGGGGTCGGCGTCGGGGAAGAGGACAGGATGAGCATGGTGAGGAGACCAGAGGGAGGTATGGTACATGGGAGCCAGATTTGCTAGATGGCAGCTAGAGCTTTCTAGCGGGGAGAGTAGAAGAGCGTGCGGCGTGCCTCGATACGGATACCATGCAACTTGCGAGTAGCACGAGAAAAGGCGGCAGACAAGGGGGTCGAGGAGACCAGGGTGTTTGTTCCATGCCCATGCCCATGGTGGTTGGCGAAGTACGATCCCGAGAGAGAGCTAGGGAAAGCTAGGGACCACGAGGATTACGAGGGCGCGGACCATGTTGGGATATTGCATACGATGGCGTTCGTTGGCAAGGGAGAGGAAGCGTAGCCTGCGTCTGGTCTATGCCCACTACGGAATTCCACGCGTGCGGGAGACGGCCTTCACTCCGGCACATGATGGATCACCCCATGCAGCCGGCTTCTCAGCTAGGTAGCAAGCTCCCTACTGGCGAGGGATCTGGATGGGGAAGAGGTTGGTTGGCGTTTGTAATGATGAACCGTGGTCCATGGGTCAAGCGTCCGTCTCCCGGCATGTCCCAGTGCGGCAAAGTGAGATGCGATATGAGGCGGGATCCAAGTTAACGCGCATCATGTCGAATCCACTGGGAGTCGCCGGCCGAACACCCTCTTGTCTCCATGAATGGATTTCATTTCGGGTTGGTATGCGTAGGAGAAAGTGACGACGGTGTCCATTTGGTCGCACAAAACGTGTCACACGCTTCCATCTCTCTTGTCTTAGTGTCTGTACTCGATGGTTTCGAGCATGGTGCAGGTTGCGCTGTAGCAGACCAGAATAGGAAACAGTGAAACGAATGGCACGTAGTAGACCCGTTGGAAAACGACTCTCGATTACTCAGTCATGGCTGGCCTTTGTCGCGATACAATTCTGAATGGCTCCGTTGCAGTGGTAGCGATAGCTGTGATATTGCGCTGTCGGAGCAGTGTAAGAAACGGATGGAGTTGAGGGCCAAGAATAAGCAGGTTGGAACGCTAGGAATAGCAACGGGGATTCGATTGCGGCGATAGTGTGCACTGTGAGAAGTGAGAACCAACGCCAAACGGAGCCAGGAAGGAACGAAAAAGAAGTTACCTTAGTCAGGGCCGCGAAAAAGGGTTAGGTTGGAGCGAGTGCAGAAAAAGTTTGCGCCTCACACGTCCAGGAGGTCTTGGCTGTCTGTGTTGGGGTTTGGTCTGTGGAGAGTTGGATGGGGGCGATTGAGCAATGTTGCATCACGGCCGAATCCTTCGATGGAGCGGGAGGGAAAAGGTGTGTGTGTGTGTGGGAGAAGAGGAGACCGGAGGGAATGGAAGATGAGCAGCAGAGTCAGAGTCAGAGTCAGACATTGGAGATGGTCAGAGGTAAGGAGTACGTACTATTCCATTAGATGTTGGATGACGGGAGATGTTGGATTTGGGAAAGAACGAGGGAAATGCAAGACAAACGAATGGGAGGCACTTGAGCAGCATGACCCACCAAGTCACGATCACGCCTGCCTTCATTTTGTCTTCTCTTCACGATGATTTAGAGTTCCTTCCCGATCCAGTAGGGACCTGAACCTAAGGGAAAGCGAGGCAAGGAAAGCGCGCCTTCACTGGCGTCCCGTGACTCCTCTTCTTTCCTTTGTCGATCGGTTGCTGCCTTCCAGAAGGAGCGCCAGAAGACATCCCGTCCACCAAGGTAAATACGTACATCGTAAGGTAAGTGCCGGTATTCGACCTGAGGAAAGTCACGCTCGACTCCGGATTTTCCAGTTGCACCTTCTTCGCGCGAGACTGTACTCCTCTCAAATTATGCTTCTTCCATGCCTCGCACTACTGCCGCCACCTGGTTGCAACTTGCGAGAGAGGGGGGGGGAACAAGCGACACCAAAATCGCCAGCGCCAATGCCAACACCAACACCACAAATCGCAAGCGTGGGAAAGGAACGCAGGCAGGCAGGCAGACGGGCAAGGATGGGCCACGCTGACCAGACGTCGGCCAAGTCGCCAAGATTCAACGGGCGATGAGTCTGCCAAGAAAGTGCTTGTGTCCTCCTCGGCAAGCCATCCCGTCACGCCAAGTTGCTCGGCGCTGCGAGGGAGTTGAGTAAATTGTCGCCGCACTTGACGACGTCGACGACAGCTGAACAACATCAATGAGGTGAGGTCACAAATTGTCGTAAAGTGAGGTCGTTTCGTCGATTCCAGCAGAGCGGTTCGCGAGATCAAACGAACACGTCTGACACGTTTGACAGCTCCGCGAACAGATTTCCCCCAGATGATCCCCCATTGGATTAGCAGATAGCCGATCCCGCACTGATGGGTACCTAGGTAATGGGTGATGGGCAATGCCCGCCCAATGCACTAGCAGCCAGCCAGCGTCCGTCCCACCGTACAAGATGATGGGGGAACGGGGAAATAAGCTTAACGGGCGTTGTGGCCTGATGCTAACAATTTAGCACCATCCGTATTACTGCCGACTACTACTGAAAAGAAGAAAATGTCTCTCATCTGTGTTGTCTCTTGGCCAATGAGAAATGTATCATGGGCCATGGTGGAGGGCAAAAATACAAGTGACAATGGAAGTCGAGGAAATTCGCGCACTGCTATCCGCCAATGGCCATGTAAGTGTTGCAACTTTGGAACCCAGTTGCCCAAGCGTCAATACCTAGCAAATGGCACGCTACAAATACCTAGGTAGTAAATTGGTGCGTGTGAGTGTCCACCAACCCGGACTACTGCGTGTCCTTTCTTCTTCATCCCCGCGACCCTTTCAATTCCCCAGAGATTCTCAAGTCGGGGCCCCAGGATGGTCCGTCGAAACTGTCAAATGGTCTGCTGGCTCCGTATTACTTGCGCATTCCTGGCATGGCCACGATACTCGTCACCTTTGTGGGCGTCTAGTTGGATAGTCCGTCGGAAGGCAGTTCCACCCCTACTATCACTGCCTCTGCCACTAGCTGACACTTGCTCCTTCCCTACCTTACTTCCTTCCTTCCACCGTTTCTCGATACCTCGTACCTTCCCCCGTCGCTTGTGAGGAAAATGACAAAGACGGTTCTTGGGAAGGCACGACCGGGGACAACCGGGGGCTCCCTCCGTCGGGCGCAACACCGGTAGCGCCAACGTCTCCACTTCCCCCTCCCCTGGCCCTCGAATATTCGGCCATCTTCCGAATTATTTTCTCACAACTTCACCACCTCTGCCCAATGGTATCTTCCGTATTCGCCCCCTCACATTCTCTGCATCACCGTTCCCCACGAGCAAATTTCCCCAATCTCTGTTTCCCCGGCCTCCAGATGTCAAATCTCCAGTCTAGCACGTCTAGCACGTCTAACAAGGACTGGAGTCTGGAGTCATCCGCCTGAGATCGTTCTTCAATCCACCTTATGCCGAGTCATGCTGGGTCAAATGGCCCAAGGCCAAGGTATGGATACTCCATAGTCGCATCTAGGGTTCCTCTCTGCTGGGCATCACCACCACCAACTGAACCATCCACGGGCTACGGTTTATCATGAGTACACGACATCGCAATGTTTGCCAAGACTTTGTACCCTCAGAAACCACGCCATTGCCTCTGACTTGCTTGCCGCCAACGGAGCGCCAGTCAGCCAAAACTCCTCCCACATCCCAGTCGCTACATTCAAGCTAATGTACCGCACAGAGCAATCATACCTGGACTGCTCCAGAGAAGCCCAAGAGGCTGATAGCCTGATGCGACTTGCCCCGGCACTCGACCTCTCCGACCACAGCTGACCACTCACCTCACCTCACCGGCCACCGTCCCTCCTCTCGCCTCGACTTGCCCGCCCCTCGTCTAAACTCAACCTGGAAGGACGCCCGCCCCTCGCCGTAACGTGGGAGAGTCCTTCAACCACGTATCGACCGTCCGTAATCACAAAAGTGTCTCTCGACCGAATCTCGTTTCCCCGTCTCCCCATCTTCCCCACCTCTCCAACAACATCTCCCCCGTTGAACCCCAAACCCCGAGTATTCCTTGCGGAGAAGAACGGGTCCATCATCCTCGCCAAACCGGGCCCTTTTCGCAAGCTCAACAACACCTGGCCGGCCATGCGCCTGTCTGCACCAGTGCATTCTCGCATCACCCCACCTCCGTCACCACCCACCACTCGACTATGCTCCGGCGCGCATCCTAATCCTTACCGCAACGAGGCAAAACATCTGCAGGCGCATCTCCCGAGCGTTTCGAGATCCTTTCCAGCCTTCTGGCCTCTGCTCCGGCGAGCTGCCGCGGCGTGCTACCCTGGGTTTTTGGAATACTACCGTGCCCGCCGGCCGCTATCATCATACCATGGGAGATGCGCACCGAGAAACTCAAGATCCCACCGTGAACTTTGTCCGAATCATTCAAATTCGCCGCTCCCAAACGGCGGTGAGCCGCAAGGCTCCTTTATGACACCACCAAAGCGCCTGTCAGTAGAAGTTGAAAGTCCCCAATCTCTCAAACTCGCAACTTATGCAGATACCACTGTACCTTCGGTCCAATCGGGCGATCTTGAGAGTCGAGGCCACAGCACCTTGGTTGACACCAATCGAACGGCTGCTGACGAGCCTCCCGGTGCCCCGGCCAATGTCTCACAGCTAAAGCCTTCCCCGGCGAGACTAAGAATACTTCTAGAAGCCTAGAACCTGGAAAGGCCGCACATGCTCGTATTTTTGGAATTGCGTCGCAACTAGCTGCCCAACCTCTTCACATGTGGACTGTGGTATTGATATTCCGACATTCATCGCTAGATATCGCCCGGTGGGTTGGTTCTTATCAGCATGTTTCGGAGCACCGCGCATGTTTGAGAACGCCTGGCCTGTGACACCCTGTCTGTGCTGCTTGCGACGCTGGGAATAGCTTGCGACAGGATGTTCCCACTCTGCTTGTTTCTGACAAATTCAGGGTCCGTCGCATGTGCTACGCAACGCATTCGAGTGCTAAGATTAGATGACAGTAGCAAGAAACAAAACGACATCAGTATGCACATTTGTTTCGCTTCAGGACGTTGTTGTTGGGGTCCGACGTGTCCGAAGTGACGGTCCCTGGTCGAACTAACTTACAAGCAACCCAAGCTCCAGATACAAGAAACGCCAAGGCCCCCGAATCCGTTTTCACCCTTTCCTTGGCTAGGCTTTTGCTCAACATCAACAACGTGGCGGCTACCTCCTGCTTGGCAGCAGACATAACAAGACGGGCACGAGAATTCCTCGCAAACCACTAAGCGCTGTGCCATGAATCGCGGCTCCGCTAATGGAGGGACAACCAAGAGGTCAACCGACTTGGCTTACGCACCATTGGCACGACCTAGGAGCTTGTTTGCTTAGCTTTGGTCGAAATTGTCTCCGACGATGAATCCAACCATACACGCCACCTTCTCTTCGAGCCGCTAGCCTACCGAACGCCCGCCTGTAGATCGGTCTTGCTCCTGGGTCAGCCATTCGTTCCGGAACTTCTTCGTGGCCCCCAGCTAGAGCAAGGCTGCCATTCCTGCGGTGGCGGCTTTGCAGAGGCCAAGCATCAACATTGACGACCATCGGCTCCATGATGGGCCCGTCTCTACATTCCGAAGTATGTCGGTTGATGGATTTCTCCGCTCACTTCGAGATTCTGGGGATCTCGAAGGCCTTCTTGCAGATCCGGGGATATACGGAGATTGTCCTCCCTTCTCCTGCCCATCTCTCACCCGTCGATGCGGGGTTTAAGATCACGACTATATCAGCTGAAAACGATCACAGCCAGAACCCACACTGGCAAGCGCGGAAAGAAAAAAACCGAGCTTACGATTTTCCACAGTGAAGCTTGGCCCAATGGATATTGCCTTGGCATCTTACGATGTTCAAAGAATGGGCTTGAGGCTGTGTAAGTATCTTATGCAACACGCTTGCCGTGATGCTGGTCTCTATCGTCTCTCTGCGTTCAGTCCTCATATTTCTCAACTTTTCTCAGTCGCTTTGCGTTCCTGAGACACACGCCATTGGTTGTCCAGTGTCTTGCTCGATTCTTTCGCCTTGCATATCGCGAAAAATCGAGGGCGGAGCTAATCGGAGCCTTCCGGAGGAGCCACCTCGGCCATGTACCTGGATACTGATGGTCCGCTTGTCTCTTTGCGAGAAGTTGTGACAATAAGCGAGATCAGTGAATAGGGGACATAATTTGAGTTTGTTAGTTGGCACGAAGTCCTCCGATAAGTTTTCGTCTGGGAATGGGGTCATCTAGCCTGGTCAGCGACTGTCTTCTGAATGACTACGCCCCTTCCATCGTGCCCTATCAGATTCTGCATTGCAAACAACGCATAGAGTACCGCTTTCCCTGGTCTAGGAACTTCAGTCTCCTGGAAGGTTGGGTGGTCAAATGTATTTGTGAAGGCGGCGTGTCCATACTCATAGTCTGGATAACCATGAGCCAGAATCAGTCCCTTTGCGAGTCCTACCACGACCCTACAACATCTGCTCCTTCGGGCATCTACAGATCCCAATGTACTACTTCTGCACAATATGTCTCTTCTAGACTAAGTAATCCGCAAGCAGGGCGAGGTCTTTGACAGGCAGTCTTGTAAGTTCATCGATTTATTTCATTTTTCTTTTTTGCCCAATCGTCACAAAACGAACACAAAGGAATCGCACGCTCGGTTTCGCGTAGTCAAATCATATGCCATAGTTATGCCATGAATTACTACTGCTAGTACTGTCATTTTAGCGCGAGCCTGCACCGAATATTTCCTCCACTCAGCCATCACCAACTCGACCGACCTCGAAACCCCTCTGGACACCTCAGAACCAGACGTGCTTGAGGAGACCGTCCCTCGAAAATGATTTAGCTTCTCGAGGGCCTCAAACCATCAAACTCACGCCATACTCCACCAGCTCACTCAATTTGCGTTCCTCCTTGTGCCAAGATAACGCTCCGACTCGTCGGGTCTCGGTCCCCATACGAGCTCCTCTGTGAAGACCGCAGCGGCGTAGTCCGTCTCGTCGCCGCAGACGCATTCGCGGTTCTCTCCCTCTTCCTCGGCACGTACACGGCAGGCCTCTTCTCCCATTCCTGTCTGCGATTTGAATCGTGATGCAAAGTCTTCTCAGCTGCCGTCCGCTGCGAAGAAGTCTCGGGCGCTGATAGACTGCGCTGTCGGCGATCTCCAGGCGGTATTGATTTGGAGCTTTTTGTCTTGCCACTGACTCCTTCTTTTCCCCGTGTGACCGTTCCTCTTGACCCGTGGAGGTCCCTCCATGGAGCTATTCTTTCAGCCCTTCGTATATGAGGTGGCTCGTCGTCACGGTCATTGTCGTCAAGGAGGTCCATGGTAGCGAGCCAGTCCTTTGCCTCGCGGGCGTGCTTCTCTACTAATGCGGCGCGCTTGAGATGAGGTCTCTGTGAAGCTTGTATTTCCTCAGCCGTCAGCACGCCGCCTAACGTTTCGTTCTCGCCCATGATGATACCAATACCGGACATGATCGCCACCAACGCGAAGTCGTCGTTCAAGAAGGGAGTCTCTTTTGCGTTAGGGGGAATGGCAGCGGAGTTGAGGAATCGGAATCCTGTTCCAAGGTACGGTCGCGAGGGGTCAATTGATATCATGGCGACTAACTCTTCGTCTACTTTGGCATAGCCTCCCCTTCCGAGATACGACTGTCGTGGAGCTCTCAGGATGCGAGTCTCGTCGGGCGTGCGTTTCCGCTAGAGAAGCCACCCGTCTGAAAGGCGTAGTGTCCGAATAGATAACCCTCGACTATGCCTCCATTCGAAATCGACATCGGTCGTCATCTCCGCCCAACAAGGATCCCGAAGACGCATCGTGAAGCGCCATAGGCCCTGATACCCTCTCCCGCGGATGATACGGCTGAAAAGGGAGCGGAAGCCCAGAGCGTTCCCTTGTCGACCGCGGTCTTCGTGGAGGAGGATCTTGGGGGTGTCGCTGGAGTTGCTTTCACGGCGGCGGGGGCGCGAAGGGAGGGGAGACTGCGGTTGTTCGAGGTGGACTTGCATGGTGCGACGGGTCTTCTAGCCCGGTAGGCTTACGAGGCGGTGGGTGAGATGCGCGATGATGGGCGCGGTGGAGAAGGGGCCTGCGTGGATGTTGATGCCGATTGCGTTGTCTGTCTCGGAGGGTTCGGCGTCGTGGGAGAGGTAGAAGAGGGGGTTGTTTGCTGTTTCGGCGAGGCCTGAGTCGAAGATTGAGAAGATTGGTGGGAGGAGGCGGGGGATTGGGGAGGGCATGTTTCTTCTTGTTTCTCTCTGTCCTTGTGTAGTTGGTAGATGGGTCGATTGCTCATGTTGAATGACTGATTGGAGGCTCCATGATGGTATTTGTTGTGCTTCGATCAGCTTCTGAGACGGCTCGAATGAGGATGGAAATGGGTTGAGCCGGTGATACCTTGGGAAGCCTTCCTACCTGGGAGGAAGGTACCTAGGTATCTTAGGTACTCAACGTGTTGCAATGTCTTGAAGGCGGCAGTGTCCTCGCATAGCATGTTCGGTTCAATGCCTTCCGTGCAAATCCAAGTTTCCGCTGCCTGGATTGAGTCCTAGGAAGTTGCCACAAGGCAGAACCTGCAAAATGTCGTCCAGCCATCCTGTCAACGGTGCCGCTCCGGAACGACCCACTCAGGCGGTCCGACCCGGCGCATGCCGGACCGGTGCCGCTGTGGGGTTCGTCCGGCAGCCCTGCAGCACACCCGAACAATAGATCGAGGCTTCACGGTCTATGCGCGGACGTGATATCGAAATCCTTTGCGCATGATTGCATTGTTGTTTGTACTTCAGCGATTCAGCCAATTCCGTCCTGTGAAACCCAACATGACGCCCACCTCGGAAGCGGTCGGCCGACCACCTGCATCTGCTAACTGAAATCAAAAGGTACTCTGCTAAGAATCAATCATGCTACATACGAAGTCGGGTACCGTTTCCCGTCTACTCAGCTGTGATAAATCCGGAATATCTCCGAGACACAAAGGTATGGTGGCTAATCGGACGGCCATTGCCATTGCACGATAGGATATTGATCTAAGACATTAACGACTGTTAGGCGTCGAAGAATGCGAAGCCATCCAGCTGAACAATTGTCATGAAAGTGCATCACGGTTGCCTCAGCCCTGTCCAGACTGGGTAGCAGGAATTTTGGCATTCAAGCTAGAGTCATCACATATCTTGAACATCCCTCGGGTAAGGTAAGTGTAATAAATAAGTCGGGTATGTGGTATTGCCCGGCCCGGTTCTTTGAATTATGAAGTTCGGGCTAAAAACCCTCTCTTCTCTCTCCATTCGTCACTCCTTACTTTGCCCTACTCTCGGGGCTTCTTCTCCCTTTCCACTTGGCTGGCAAAGAGCTCCCTGTCCCCAATCCACTCTCAGGAGAATAACCGACTACGACGTTTCTTCGATAGACCAAGTTCGCCTTCACGATGAGAGCTTTATTTTTGATATTGGTTGGCTTGGTATCCAATGTAGCAAGCCAAGATTACAGCAGGGTCTTGATAGGATGTGGCCAACCTGGCAACTTCCAGCAGACCTTCACCTTGTTCTCCACCAATCCTGCCAACAGCGTAGAGTTTTGCCGAACAACTTGCTTGGTGAACAACTCTCGTTCGTTCGGCGCGCTCTTCAACGACCAATGTTACTGCAGCAATGCAGGTATCGCCGCTATCCAGTTCACACCTGACAGCAACGCTAATTGCAACATCTTCTGTCCCGGAGATTCCTCCGTTAGATGTGGCGGTGCTGTCAGCTCTATTCAGTATTTCAGCGTGTACGGCTTCAATCCCAGAGCCTCAGACTCTTCCAGCTCGTCCAGCTCATCGACCCTGACAACTTCCTCAACATCCACCGACACAGGTAGCACAACTACTACAGGAACGAGCGGTACTGATACCTCAACAACTCTGACCTCGTCATCATCCAGTACCTCGAGCTCCTCAAGCAGCGGGTCAACAATCATCATTACAGATTCTAGCACTACTTCTCCATCTTCACTCGTCTCCATCTCGACATCCTTGACAAGCTTCAGCAATACTTCTACGACTTCAACGCAATCGTCAACTACCTCTTCTTCGAACTTGGCAACAACTTCATCCACCAGCACCTTCAACACCGATAGCTCCAGGACTAGCACGGGGCTTTCTACCACCTTGAGCATGAACCCAAGTGCGAGTTTGAACGCCACAAGTAGCAGCGGAACAACAGGCTCTTCCTCTTCATCCTTCACAGGCTCTTCCTTGACATCCGGGAGCACAGGAACGTCTACTTCTACGCCTTCCGCCACTGCCAGCACGACCAGTAGCAGTGGGAGCTCAGGATCATCCGTCATATCAAGCTCCACTACAGTCATTATTTCTTTGTCGTCTGTGACTTCTTCATCTACGATTTCTGGCTCTCCGATATCAAGCTCAAGTTCAAGCCCCTCGACATCCGCGACCACACCAAGCACTAGCCAGACGAGCATCCAATCGAGCACGTCCTCTGCATCACAAGCTTCTTCCTCTGGGGCTCTATCCACATCGCCTACAATATCTTCAACCACTGGGATAACAAGCACGGCCTCAACTTCTCAGATTACTGCCAGCTTTGTTCTCACTGTTTCCGTCTTGCCTGCTGCCACTGCATCGGCTGGTTGAGTGATATGATGTGTCAAAGGAAAAGGGGATGGCGCGAGACAAGCAGGGGAAAGACAGCAACCCAGTTGAGTACCCTTTGGCGTCGGGCATCTGAAGAGAAGTCTTTGTGGTGATATTTAAACCATAGAAATGGGAGTACGGACAATTCATGTAATTCAATTTGCTTGTAGCTGAAGAACAGCACATACTCAATAGTCAAACAGAAAGATATCACTGCTATGACCTTGTTGTCCCTAGGATTGTCGAGCGTATATTGGAAGCCGATCTTATCATTCTTACTTATGTTTTCCCTACTTGATCATTCGAATCTTTGATTCTCATCGTTGGTACGGGGTCTATGAGAGGTGTGGCCACAACATGCTTTGCAGTGACATACGTTGAGCAGCTCAACCAAGTCAATTCCACTGAGATTGATTGAAGTAGGTATGTTTGATAATGTTGCGGTATTACACAAAGTGGTAATCACATCTTGAAACTGGACCAGACTAAATTCCACATAATTGAGAAGGTCGACAGGTATTAGTAAATACTTAGATTGGTAAAGGCATTGATTCACGAACTTTACCTAGAAAAACATGTTGTTTTGATGCCTCTACACAGCCTAATGCTTGTACGAAGGGTTTAAGTCGTATTTCATGCTCTTCAACTGGCCATGCAGTCGAGTATTGTAACTTGAAGATGGGAGATAGTGTAACAAGATGTGTTTCCTGCGTAGTCACAGGCCTTTACCGATGATTCGAGGCCGAGGGCTCTGTAAACATCATCAAGAGCTATGATATCCTGTAGGTCCCAGCAGTAGTCTCCTTGATCTTTCATACCAGCTATTGAGGACAATATATAGCCTGTGACTTAGTATCGATCAATGTCTGTTTCATTCAAGTCGATATTGTTGGAAAAGCGCATTATTGCCAATATCTAGTAACGACCTTCTCCGTCCTTGGCGGAAAGTGACTTTGGCAATCTTTACTCTAGAGTATTGTATCGAGCTCCATATGAATTATTTTACAACTCCTATTACACTGTTGTGAAGAGTTGTGTAGCGGGCTTTCGATATCTCATCCAACCACAATCCAACACACTTGGAAACCAAAGACAACAGTCATTCAGCACAATAGTCGAACCTTGGAGAGATCAACAAAACAACCACTGACTCTCCGTTGCCATAGCATTATTCGCCCGCCGACAACAGTCTCCCCGTCGTAAGCGATCAACTGGGGAGAATGTTCGATGGATCCCCCTGAAATGAAGGAAATTCCCCGATTTGATCCACACGTGCGTGCTGTCTGCGAACCGGATCCGCCCCAAAATTTCTCAGCAGCACACGGACCGTCGATGGCCCATCGTGAACAAGCCTCGTGGGAAAGGGACAGGGCCCAGGGGACCATGCATCGTTGGGCTGCGATGGGAGATTACGCAGTCTTACAACCCGACTCTACTGGGGGACGGGGGGCTTCAAGCAACAGCAGCAAGGGGTTATTTGCCGCAGGTCTCGAATGTGACAAGTCAAATTTCTTTCTTCTACCTTGTTTATGAGAACCATGTGGATGAATGACTAGTTGCGGACTTCACGATGGCTTCATTTCCAAGGACAGTGATGCCACTGGAACATCCACCGGTATAGCCGAAGCCCTGCACACCAACTTTTTACAATTGGCAACGAAATGAGGACGGCTGCCAATATCATGCTTCAAGGGGTGCACCGAACTTTTCTTCCCTTGCCGAGTCTTAGTTACCAGGTCACAAAAGTAAGAAATTAATGAGAAAAAAGCATAACTGTTCCTGATATCAGGTGGGCCCGGGAGTGTGGTAAGTTGCCGCGGACCCGTGGCGTAGCGGCGTGGGGGTCGCCCATGACGGTGTGTTGCATTCGGCTTAGACGAGCCATCACGGTAGGTGACATTTGTCACCGCACGAGAAACAGCTCGGTCAAGCTTCTTCACGGCGATGTGTTTTGGCTACCTCCCTGGCCGTTTTCCTGCGGCCACCTTCCTATTCGTGCCTTGATGTTCTCATGTCTTCGTGGGTTGTCGGTGGGTAGCATTGATATCGGCCCTACGGCTAGTTTTGACACCAAGACTTGACGATGCGGCATAGTCACTGAAGCCCGCCCGGGTTGCAGATGTGACTGAGAGAGAGGTACACGCGTCAACGGATGGCTGTTGAGATGACAGCATCACATGTCGGATGCAATGTTGAATGCAGTTTCGAGATTGCGAACCTTGCCCTGAATCACGGCATGCTGAGCATGTTGGCCGTGTTGAGTCAATACTGCTGCAGCATCACGAATCACCGATGACATGTTATCAAAGTTTTGCATCGCAGCAAGCCAGCATCTCACCCGTCGTCATGCAGCGTGCCGGTGACCCAAAAGGGGGTGGGAAGCAAAATAAAACAGCCCCCAAATGATGTTGGCCCTTTTGCACAGCACAGCGCTCGTTTCAAGCTGAACTCTGACTTCTAGATCATCCAATGCCGGATGGCACTTGAAAACGTGTGGTGGATGCTCGGCGCGAACTCACCCGCCGTTGACTAGACTGCAATGCTTCTCACCTACTGATACATCCATCTTCAAGCTGCTGCTAAGCTAAGATAGTTCGGCCACATCATCAATGATCAGCCCGTAAAACAGAGTTTCTGTTTAGTCCGGCTGCAACTTCCGGACCATCTGCGATGCTGCGATGAGAAGAAAAAAGTGGTTGACACACGAACCACCAGATGGTCCCGATACCGCCCTCGTTTCGGACGGGACGCGGCCTAAAGTGGACCATCATCGACCGGACGAAGAAGGTCTCATCTTATTTTAGGACTTGGGCTCTACCGACACAGTTTTGTTTCCCTGGCAGGTCCAGGGCTCAACGTTCTGGAATCTGTGGAGTTTTATGTAGCGGAAAATCTTATCGTGTGACAAAAAATTAGGACTTGGGAAATGGTCACAAGAAAGAGAGAAACTCCACTGTTGGGAGAGAGCTCTTCCCTCTATCCGTAGGGGTCTAGACAAACATGCCTCTTCATTCCCTTGCGCACATCACACCAGGGGCACCCGATAGGAGTTGTCGACAGGGTTTACGCCGCTGTGAAAGATGGAAAGTGCGAGGGGGCACGGATAGTCAAATTGCCATGTGTGTGGATCGGGAGCATTGGGCTAGAACTTTGAACAGGGCTTCCCGAAGCGTGATGGATATCACGATCATGAGGCGAGGCAGAGATTTAAACCACGATTTGACAAACTATCAGTTAGACCAAAAGAATTTGGAGTCGTGAGGGGTTCCACGCCGCAGCAGAGGCGTGTCAGAGTACATCCTGGCCCCTGGATCCTGGCTTCAAGCTACAAAACCCATTCCTTCCCTCGGATCCTGTACCGAATGCAGCTTAATGGGAAGAGAGGGGAAAGACGGGATAGCTGCAGGACAGTCACAGTTGGGGCCCCGGGGGCGACTTTATTGTGGAATAGAGCAGATTTTGGGGTTCCGCCGAGGAGGAGAAATGCGAAAAGGCGATGGCGCAGAGTGGTGGGAAACTCGGCCGGATCGTGAAAGTCTTTTTGGAGAAGAGGAGATGGGGACCTGAGGGGGAGAAAGAGAAAAAGAGGATATCTCGAAATATGGATCCAAGGCTCGGGATTTCCGGATCAGGGAAACCGAGAAGAGGGACGTGGAGGGGACGTGAACCTGTGAAAGCTGAGTGAGTCGACGATGAGCGACAGGGGGCCCCTTTTTGTCATCACACGGACGAGCGAGACATAAGCTGGAACGGCCGATATATCCACTCCCGGACGCCTAGTGGAGAGGTCAAGAAGAGTATCCGTACTGATAGGTAACATGATTGAGTGTCCGTGGTTGGGAACCGACGAGTACGCGGGCTGAAGACGATGTATTTCGGTACCTTGCGCAAGGAAACAGGCGAGGAAGGAGGAGCTTCGTCTTTGCAGCTTGCTTGGAATCAGCGGAATCCGGTGTAGAGCTTCTCAAGGCTTGAGAGGACGACCTGGAGCTTGGAGGGGTCACCCCATCTTCCTCCCGTCGCGGCAGGGCGGTCTAGAACGGCGGCCGAAACTCTTTCTTGCGGTGGGATGGATGGGGTGTGTGTGTGGACGGGTCTGATTCACGATGGTTGATGCTCCTCCCGGTTCCGGTGTCCCGGGCGGCACGGGAGGGCGGGCAAACGCATACACGCAACGCACGGCACACACGCACGCACACACATCTGTGGTGTCAATCACGACTTAAGTTCGAATGAGATTGGCAATCTGTGTTGGCAACGTCGGTGCGCGGCATGAGTGATGGACGGCGTGCCGCATGGATGTTGTGATAGGGGGGTGCTTAGTAGGAGGGGGCCCAAAGATGGTGAACGGGCGTCACAGCCTCACTCAGGATAGAAACAGTAGATCGGTCATCGGTGGACATATTATGGTCGCGACCGTTGCCGTGGTAGTGTAATGTAGTAGTTCTATCAGATACGAGGGTTACGCGCGTAGACTCGTAGCTTGTACGGGGAGTTTTGCTGACCGAGGACAAAAGGTATGATAGATTGGATCGTTCGAATGACGAAGAACAACAAGTACCGACGACAGTGAACCTTGGGACGAATCAGGATCGCCAACTCAAAGTCAGATCACAATTCCAAGGAACGCTGTACAGATGTTCATGTGATAGTGGGGTCTGTTTTACATCATCGAGTAAGGGTCGTTGTCCGTTCCGTCCTTCGTTCGAAGGGGACCCGGAAGATCAACGAGCCAGTTGGAAAACGGACAGCAGAGCCTCTCGAACGTATCACTCTAGGTGGTGTCCTGTCAAGGACGCATATCAAAGAATAGCAACAGCAGAGAATGTGACGGTAGGAGCCAAGCTGAGTTTGGACATGGACCTTCGTTCGTCTCTCGCTAGGCGGAGTTAGTCGGCCATCCGGGAGGGTGGGAAAAAGGGGGGGCGTGTGGGATGGTCATGTTTTTGTCGATGCTTCACCGTTCTCCCCTACGTCATATAGTCTCGCCATGGCGCGTCGACCGGTTTTCGCAACCGCTGGCACCGGTGGCTCGGGATGGACCCAGGCGGCCGCGCGAGCGACGACAGGCGAGAGAGAGAGGGCTGCAGTGCTGCACAATTTTCTTTGCATTTTTTGCCATTGGCTAGGTTCCGTGCTTCGGATGTTTGGCCCGGGAGACAATGGACGGACAGATGTGAACACTGCAGACTGCAGTCCGCATAGGGGCTAGCCAGCGCAGAGATGCTCTGCCAGATCGGGGGTTTCCATTCTAGCATACGCCACTCCAAGCCCAGCAATGACAATGCCCGCCCGCGGCGGCGTCAGGGGTGCCATGATGTTCGGCCAGGGAGCTGCCCTGATTGTTTCGTCTGTTTGGCTTTTTGGAGCCCTGGAGCTAGCAGGGGACGGAGGGGTTCCGATGGCAGGCTTCGGAGTCATGCGAGAGATGACAATTTCTGGAGGGAGTTTTTGTTTTGAGAGGTTCTTTTGTGAGAAATGAATGCGTGTGTGTTCGAATGGGACTGTTTCTGATAATCCATTACCCGCCCAGGTACGCCGTTGATGACGGGATGATCTCGAAACGGGATGACACTGTGACACATGGTAGGCTTACAGAGGGTGAGAGTAATTGTCGTTCTGAGGCATTGCGGCGAAAAAGTTAAGATTTGGATGAGCGGTGATCTTAGGGTAGAGCAGTTCGGTAGCAAATGATGTGTGTCTGAGCTGACACGAGCAGGTAATACTGGTACTGCCGAACAGGAGTGAGAGTGACGAGTGAAGAACGAAAAGGAGCATTCCAGAGAGAAAACTCAAACCAAGGCGGCGAAATGACGACTACTGGAAAGGTTATGGCAAATAGCAAACAAAGTCTTGGCCGGGCGCATTCTGTTATCTCAATCGGCCCTAAGAACATCGAAGCAACCGATTGGGATGCAAGATTGGTTCATCGATCACATCTGCGACAGCACTACGGCAGTGGTTGCTTCTTCTTCATGTGCTCGCTGGCTAGCCATTCGTAGTTCTCTCTCACTCTCTAATCTGTCTGACTCTAGCCGCCGCCCCTGTTTGGACCTGCCACACCTCCGAAGTGCTTCCCGTCCACACCCTCTCTAACCTCTCACAGGGAACATGGTTTCAACACACCCTCCCCCTTTGGGACCCTTTTAGGTGTCCTCAAGGCCCAGAACGGGCACCGGCGACGGGTCGACGGACCTAACAGACTATAGCGGAACGGCTAAGGTAAGTCAGATCGCGCCAGAGACGTTCTGTTGGGAACGCATGGAAGAAGTTGGGATGCCAATGCCCGTTAGCTTGAAAGGTTTTCTTCGTTCAACCCGTGGCTTTCGCAGTCTCTGGTAGGGGCTACTGCCGGAACATTGCCGGCCGGACTCGGTGTTCGCTATTTAACAATGAGACTCTATATGAGTTTGACAGCATCTGAGTTTTCAAACCGCGTTTTCAATGTTCACAGAGAGACGCGTCCGTGGCGTTAAATTGGGTCTCTCTTGATAGTTTGAAGGCGAACTCATGCCGACGCCGGTGACACGGAAGCCTAGAAGCAGTTCATGTACGCTTTATGGAGATGAGTAAGAGATTGATGTGCGCACCTCACCTCCTTGACCCAAGTGTCCTCACAACGTTTTCGACTCCTGTGCTCCTGTCATTTCACACCTACAGATACGGGTAGTTAGGCACACGGGGCTCTCCTCACCGTCGGCCGGCCCATTCTCAGAGCAGAGAGGATTATCCGTACGAACTTGAAAAGGGCCAAGAGAGGTGCGGGTATGGCGCGCGTAAAAGACACAAGAGACTCGACTGATAACGACGACAGCGAGTCCACTGCGTCGTCTTGGTGCAGGCACGTGTGACGCGAGACAAGTGCGCTAAACAGCTCCAGACGGTCTGCGACTGTCGTGAGAAGAGGCAATGATAGGCGCCTGGTGGTACGAACAGCTTAGCAGAGCTTCACTTTAGGGCAAGTCGGAAGCGCAGGGCTTCGGCAAGCTGCGAAAGGGTACTCCGTAGAGAGGTGAGGGTGTTGGAGGGAGGGGGAAGAGGGGTGAGCTGATATGATGGCATGGGGGTCACCGACGCAGGCACTGGGGGTTTAGCTGGGCTGCACACACTCTCTTTTTACAGAGAATGCACAAAATGGACGGCTAAGGGTTCCTGGCAGGGATGGCGGGAACCTTGGAGGGCTGGAGGGGAGGGAGGGGTGGCATCTTGAAGGCTCAATCATGTCCTTCAGAGAATCTGACTTTGACGCTGGTGACCGAATCTCTCAGTTCTGTGTGTTCGTATGACTCTCACTCTCATTCAGTAGCATTACGCTCACTCGCCCTCTTACTCACTCAGGTCTGTACACTCACTCACTCACTCACAGTCTCTCACATCAAACTTTTCACTCACTGTAAGGTATCACTGTATCACTGAAAGAACGGGAAGGTGTGGCGGTCTTCGATAGGGGTTTCCGCGGCAGGATCCACTCTTTCTAGCACAATGCCATTTCTAGCGCAAGGGAAAAATCCTCGACGGCGGCAAGAGCTGCACACTAAGCAGGTACGTATCGCAGAGATACACAGGTACCTCTCGGCGCGTTCCCTTCCATTCTGCCGGTGCAGTTTGCCTCAGGTTGCCTCTTCCCTCCATCTTGTCGCCTTTGCAAACTCGCAGGCCGCCGCAAAGTCGAAACTGCATGGCAATATGCAAGCTCTTTGCACCAACGATCCAATGATTCCGGCATAGCGATCAATAACATTACTCGACACACACTTCCTCTTCTTAGCCACACACTCGATGCGGCTCGAGGCTGGAGCTTGCGCACTCTTATCGCCGAATCCACCCACCACAACATCGTCGACTCGAACTTCTCTCCACTTCTCTCTGACGACTGTTGTGGACCCTTCGTGTCTTTTTCTCGCTCGCCCTTCCATCCCTCACACGGCGTTCCCAGTCAGCGTGCCAGCACCCTCCACTTCGCTCGCTCTCGCGCCCCGCCAGCCGAGAGAGTCCGTCTAGCTTGGCCAAGGTGCCATGGACGAGCAGCAGGGTCACAGCCCACTCTTCGTAGGGCCCGGCATGGCGAGGCGTGGGATTGTCAATCATTCATGGCCATGATGGGTGCGGTGACGGAGCGTGGGGCCATGGGCGTGAACGTGGATATCGACGTCAAACATGGTTCAAGGTCAATCTTCTCCACCACCATTACAGACCACAGACACACAGCTGCAAATACTCTGTTTTCTACAGATGTACGGATACGCCGTGGCGTACAAGTGTATGGATATGGATACCACAGAGCAGAACCGTCAATCTTGCGTGATAACGCAGAGGCGCACCAAACACGCCAACCCTCTAGCACCGGGGCCGAGAAACACCACTACGGTCACCACGCTCCAAGCAAGGAACCGGCGACGAGTCGACTACGGGCCCGTGGAGCCTCCCGGTCTGCTCGTTGCCGTTTCTGTTGCTGTGTTTTCCTGGGATCTGCTTTCCTCCGCTCGATTCTCAGCTGTAGCTTCTCCAGTTCTTTCTCCCTTCTCCGTCTTGTGTTTTTCGCCATTCATTACGTCCCGTCTCTCCGCTCCTTCCGCCTGCTTTCCAAGCTTCTCGACTCCATTGATCATCCCCTCCTCGCCCTCTCCTCCTCTTCCTTGACCTCCTCCCACCCTCCAAACCAACTTCAATTAGCTTTCCAACTTCCTCACATAATGGCGCCTACTTTCCACGAGTGCTACCGCCGTGAGGTCCACTGATGACACTACCCCACGATAACGACAACACTATTCATCCATCGATATCTGGATACCTGACTCGATATACCCAGAAAACCTGCATCTTCACCAGCAGCTCTAATCCATCCAGTCACGACTATCTTGTATAGAGGCTCTTGTACCGCCACCTGCGATATCTTCATACTCAATTGAGGATAATCGAGCTGAATCAACCAAGAGCCTGGAAACGGCGATCGTTTCCTCTTTAGACAACATGCCAGGCTCGCCTCAAGAGTCCGGCCAGACGAGCTCCGGCTCCAGCAACACACCGCCGAATCCTTTCGAGAATCCAGCACAGGAACAGCCCAAACTTCGAACTCCGCCATTGCTTCACCCTTCGTCGGCAACACCGCAGGCTCGAAAAGAGAAGAAGGAGAAGAAGAAGGTTGGCTTCCATGCCGACAGCCCTCAGCCTAGCCAGACACCCCTGGTAGACAATCGGCCACCAAGCATCGTGATTGACGATGACTACTTCGCGCAGTCAATGTCCCCCGAAGTTAACCCCTTTGATACACCTGGACGCATTGCTACTCCAAGACGAGACAACGACGCAACCCCAGCGGGAGCTCCAGATGCCGGTGAGCTACGTCGTGCTTTAACCCAGGTCTTGATTTCGGAGAACCAGGAGAACAATCCTTCCGAGACACCTGCCCGGCCCCGGCCCGTGCTCCGCCGTAACACCAGCTACGATGCACCCGAGGAAAGACAGAAAGCCGACCTCGCTGAGCAAACTGCCGGCGAGCGGCAGCAGCGTTCGGGTTTGGAGGCCCGCCAGCGTGCCAATCGCTTGGCTGTTAGTGTCGAGAACTACTCCTCACCCCCTTCTCGTCGCAACTCCATCGATGGTTACAACCCATTTAGCGATGATGAGGAAACCGACCACGTCACCGGCTTGAGCTCTGCGGTTGATGGGTCGGATGAGCGACGAAAGGTCCGGTCCCGTCCCAGAAAGAACTCGCACTTGGATGCCGAGAATCTCGTCCGATCTCACACTAGACGAGCAAAGAAGGGTGGCCGAGGACCGAATGACTACTTCAAGTACGAGGCGCCTGCAGGTGCCCGATCTGGCACCGCCACGCCCACTTTGGAGCAGTCTTACGCTCACGACTATGTTCCGCCCCCGAAGCAGTATCACGGAGGCATTCTATCGTCGCTCCTCAAGCTCTACAACGAGAATGGCAGCGGCGGTAGCAGTGGTCGAAACACGCCGGGTTCCAACACACCAGCTACAGCTACGCCCAATCACTCGCCTCCGGGCTCTATGCCAGCCTCCGCTGCGCCCTCAACCCCTGGATCACCTCGGCCTTCTCGCCCCAACAGTGGCTTGTTCAACTACCACAAGAAGCAAGGCTCTCGTTCCTCCATGGCTCTGGCTGAGCTTATGAAGTCGTCGTCCGCTATGGCAGGGCCGGCTTCGAGTGTGTTTAGCCAGGGCTTCACCGAGAAGCTCAAGACCGAGCCCCCGTCACGGCCGAAGAGAAAAAAGTCTGGAGTCTGGGGCGGATCTTCACCAAAGTCATCAAAGTCTGAAGACAAGCACCGCATTACTAAGCACATTGCTCAGATCTTGTCGAGGCATAAGTATCTCGTCAAGCTGTGCAGGGCGCTGATGATGTACGGAGCTCCAACCCACAGATTGGAGGAGTACATGAAGATGTCGGCACGAGTCCTCGAGATCGAGGGTCAGTTCCTCTACATTCCCGGCTGTATGATTATCAGTTTCGACGACAGCGCGACCCACACCACCGAGGTCAAGATCGTCCGCTCGGCACACGGTGTCGATTTGGGCAAGCTGCGCGACGTGCATGACATCTATAAGCAGGTTGTCCACGATTTGATCAGCGCCGATGAGGCTACCATCATGTTGGAGAGCATTACAGCTCGCAAGCTCAAGTTCGGCAATTGGATGCGCGTGCCCGTCTATGGCCTCGCCAGTGTGTGTGTCGCCCCCTTCGCCTTTCAGGGACGCTTCATCGACTTGCCCATCGCTTTCATTCTTGGTTGCATCCTGGGCTGGATGCAATTGATCCTTGCCCCGAGCAACGAGCTGTATGCGAACGTCTTTGAAATCACCGCCTCCATCGTCACCTCCTTCTTGGCCCGCGCCTTCGGCTCCATCAACAATGGCGAATTATTTTGCTTCTCCGCACTGGCGCAGAGCTCCATTGCCCTCATTCTTCCAGGTTACATGGTCCTCTGTAGCAGTTTGGAGTTGCAAAGCCACAACTTGGTCGCCGGCAGTGTTCGCATGGTTTATGCAATGATCTACACGCTCTTCCTCGGATACGGAACTACGATTGGCACTGCGCTCTACGGCATGATCGACCGCCACGCAGAGTCGAGAACGACCTGCACCAACCCGCTTAATAGGAATTGGTACCTGTTGTTTGTGCCAGGCTTCACCCTCTGCCTCTGTATTATCAATCAGGCCAAGTGGAAGCAGACACCTGTCATGATCACCATCTCACTCGCCGGCTTCCTCGTTAACAGCTACTCGTCTGACTTCTTTGTCGGCAACGCTCAGATCTCGAACATGCTTGGCGCCCTTACCGTGGGATTGCTAGCTAACCTCTACTCCCGCCTTGGCCGCCATGCTCACAACTATTTCCTCGACTTCCTCGACTGGTGGGATCTTCGCATGGCCCCGCGCTTCGTTAGCGCTAGCCGCCGTCGCAACGAGCGTCCTCGTCCGGAAATGTACCAAATGTCTGGCCAAACCGCCGGAGCTGCCGGTCCCACTGGCGTCCATACCCCCGGAGAGAACACTCCCGAAGGATCGGCGCCAGCAACACCCACCACCACGGCCTTCTCCGAGAAGGACAAGGCCCAAGGTGTCGTCCCGGAGCGGAAGCGCACCGTCGGATATGGACTCGCCGCCGCCGCTATGCTTCCAGCTATATTTGTGCAGGTCCCTAGTGGTCTCGCGGCTGGCGGGTCATTATTGGCAGGTGTCACGTCGGCTGATCAGATCACGAACAATAACGGTACTTCGACATCAACCGACAGTTCAGACCTTAACAACTCGGCCTTTGCGGTTCTTCTTAGCGTTATTCAGGTCGCTATTGGCATCACCGTTGGGTTATTTATGAGCGCCCTCATGGTTTACCCTCTGGGTAAGAGAAGAAGTGGCCTACTCAGCTTCTAGTTAGTGCGATTTCACACGGTTATACCGGCATGGTTTTGGCTCTCGCCACTCTTTGGGAAGCTTTTCAACAATCCGAGGTGGAAGCACGAGCCGGATGTGGAGTTGGGGTTCGCAGCAGAGAGCTGGGCACAGGAGGAGGATTCATTGGCGTTTAAGAAGGCGTATAGAAGGGCAAGCATATGAAATAGCACTGTGGCGTTTGTCGGTAGCGTTCGTTTAGATTTGGTTGGATTCACTTTGTTCTTTCAAGCATTGGCCACGGAGTAACAGTACAAGACGTCGGATCTTGGCGGCGACAAATACAGCACTAGACAATATGAAGACTATAGACGTAGAGATAGAACAACTGGATCCGAGCTCAGCTCTCCATACTTTATGTTTCTTTCTTTTGCTCTTTCTGACTTGCCTTTGTCACAAGTTCGATGTTGTACGCCTCCCTTGTGTTTCAATGCCGCTACCACAGGCAGTTGTAAGGATATTGGCGAGGGCAAGCGACGCATTCAATTTCGATTACGCTGACTTCTAATGCTCCCATGACGCATAGGGTAGGCAGGTTCATAGGCAGAATCCGGACCAGCTGTTGTTGAACCATTCTTCTTTATTCAGACTTAACACCATGTCACGATCATTACCAACCTCTTCGGCCTCGATGCCGAAGGAAATGCATTTATCGTTTGCTGATGCCATGGAACCAACTCCCACCATACTCAACTCCGATGGTGATGATGCCCCAGCAAGGTCCTCGATGAGCAAGTTGCCGCTCAAACTTTGCTGATAAAGAGAAGAAGATGGTGCTTTACCCTCATAAAGTTATACAATAGTTGGTCTGGTGGTGTACCCTAGGAAACGGTGTTGTACCTTGACGGCATATGGGAGGCTATATAATTCGGACCATCCCTGCCAGATTGTTTGGTTGTTCCAGGAGAAGCACCACTCTCTCCTGTCTAGTACAACTCACTAGTATTCGGTTCACTCTCTACGTTCAGAAGCTCTCTGGAGTTCTGCACAATACCACTTCACCACATTACCGAACCATCAGAGCTTGATACTTTATCAGACAGAGTCGGTCTAGCTGTTCTACAACTTACATGCTGTCACTCTTACAATTCATAAAAAACACCAACTACACCTCATCACACTTCCTGGTCAGAAGTTCACAGGCTTCTCAGCCAATCTCATCTACCTCTACCAATACTCCTCAGCCTCAGCAAACCTGGTCAGGACTACAGAGTCTTCTCCCCAGTTCAACCCATCTCACCTCACCAAGCCCATCACCCTCACCAAACAAACAAACATTCACAATGCTCCGCATCTTCAACCACATGGTCCCCTACCCCCGGCCTAAGGGCTTCCTCGTTCCAGACCCGGAAGTCTACAAAGGCCTGGACGCAATCCAACAGCATGGCACCGCCACGTCAGACCTCGCCCAGCGCACAGGACGCGTCCGCTGCCTCGCCATTACGCAACAGGACAAACTCCGCGAAGAGCTAGCCTACCTCAAAGAATGCCAGCTCCACGACCACGCGCACATGGACGAGGATTACGGAATGAGGATGCAGGGCTGCAACATGCAGTTCTGGCCTGGTGGACTCGGTTCTTCTGCTGCGGATATGTACCCGAGGAAGATGTCGAATAATGACATCTTGATGGCGAAGAGGATTGAGAAGTGCTACCGGAGGCGGATGAGGGAATTGAAGGAGGAGAAGAGGAAGAATGCGATTTGGTTGGATTTGTGGTATGATAAGCAGGTTGTTAAGGTTGATCGGTTGTTGAGGAAGGAGTGGGATCAGAGTGGGGAGTGTGGGGGGTACCCTTACTGGGCTGAGGAGAGGCGCGAGGTGAAGCGCAAGATGAAGCGCAAGGTGAAGCGTTCTGCGAAGTAAGACTTCAACTGGATGCATGGGTACATTCCCTTACGACATATCACGACCGGCGTACATTCATGAGAATATGATTGGGTACTGGATACGTTGAGTCGGGTCTGCTTTTTGAGTACATACTACACTACAACTACCTACACTACTGATGCTCAGCGAGAGACCGGGACGTACATGTCATTAGGCATGGCCTGTGTTGCAGACATCACGCTAACAGAAGAATGCAAGACATTCATAAATATACAAACCACTATTGCCCCTCATAACTATTCTGAAATCACTCGCTGCACTTCTGTCCAAGTTTGGAACTTCCTCTGTGATGTGATGAGATGAGCGGGCCATCTGGGGTCACAGAGCAAGTTTGAGACAGTCGTGGAGAAGAGACTCAGTACTGATATGGCCAGTGCTGCTGCGCACCCTTGAGTACTTCGAAGGGACACTGTTCTTAACAACCAACCGGGTTGGAACGATTGATAGCGCTTTCATGTCCCGAATTCACCTGGCGCTCTCCTACGAGCCCCTATCCGAAGCAGCGAGAAGACAACTCTGGGATACCTGGATAACACGAGCATGTCGTGGACAGCGTCCTATTTGGGTCAAAGAAGAGCTCCTCGTCCAGTTATCGGTGTTGAATGTCAGTGGACGGGACATCAAAGATATCTCACTGCTAGCTCAAGGATTGGCAAAAACTGGCCAGCGTGATATGGCTTCGGAAGATATCTGGAAGGGAGTTAACGCGATGACACAGTTCCAGGAAGACTTTAGAGCCAGTGTCACTCGTCAAGAAGCTGGAAAGAGATCGGATCCAAAGGTTCCGGACTCGAATCCGATGCCTTCAAAATCATGGCTTAAGACACTTTACCAGTGGTGGTGGTCATGACTATCTGGATACACGGCAACCAACGGACGGCGGGATGTGTTGTCTTATCGCAACTGGATTACATCTGGACAATTGCGGCAATTGACGGAAGGCACCGAGGTATAGTGTGGCGAGAAGTACTATTGCCTCGTTGCAGAGACTTGCAAACGTATGGGAATCCTATGCCGCCTGCGTTTGTCGTATTGATCATGCAGCCATATTGTACGTGGAGAGGAATGGGTGGGTAGGTTTGAGGTTATTTGAAAGAAGGCATGGAGCGTTCCCGTTGCATTGTCGAGGAGGCCAGGATTTGGACGAGTCAAACTCCCTGTAGGCTTCCATCCTTGGCAGACTTCAATGTGCCTGTGAGAATTGACGTCTAGGAGGTCCCAATTTACAGTGTGATGGAGAATGATACAGTTCTCTTTACACGAGAAAGATACCAGGGCGTATCAAAATGCTCGCAAAGTTGCAGCCTTCACCCTCATAAGGTAGTCAAACGTCCTAACGTAGCAGGACGTAACTCAGCAGCGCATCATAGAGACACATTTCTTTCCAGCGCAGAAAACAGCTCACAGGCTCCGTGATGTGGATTTGCCAAGAACCCAAATCGCGTTCAGCGACATTACACCCCAAGCAGCATCCAATAATGTCTTCAAAAAACCTAGTCTGAGTGTGCGGGACTGCCGGCCGGGGTAGCATCAATGACCCAGCCAACAGCCGACACTAGCTCCGTTGGGCAGCTCCTAAAGTTCGCGCGGCCTTGGCGATCATGATAAGCTTAAATGCTCCTGCCGCATGCTCTCCATTCCCCGAGAGACTGAACGGTGTTTGTGGGCTTCTGAGTAACGGACTTCCTGTTTCTGTCTACTCATTGTATTGCGTGCCATGACGGCGAAAGCCGTTGGCATAATGAGATGCCTGTTTGGGCCAACGGGTCCTGCCGCCGTCCTGGCTGATCCTCCACATCCCGCAAGTGCTGGGCGGGAGGCCGTATATGCTTCGCTTCTCTTTAGGGTCGTGATGAGTGTATTTAAAGAAGGCTTCTCACCAGATTCTTGGCCATAAAGGTTCTCTTGCTCTCTTCGTTGCACCTGCACCATTTATCAACGGACGCCGCTTATCAACAGGACAATCTGCACGATGCATCTCAACGCTGCTCTCGCGATTCTCGCGGCCTCCAGGGTTGCCCTGGCTGCGCCTGCCACTGAGGAGACCCAAGTTGACCCTGCGCTCCGTCTGATCAAGACGTCCGAGACCGACGCCGGCACTTGGGTCACGGAGGACCAGAAGATTGAGGAGTATGTCAACAAGCACGTCGGCTTCATTGACATCACCGACATCGTCGTAAGTCTCAACTGTTTCCCGTTGATTCATGGAATACGCTAACCCGTCAAAGGACGAGGAGGTCTTGGCGGTCCTGTCCACCCCGCCTGAGGAGGTCCTTGAGGCCAGAGTGACATACCCCACCACTCTGTCCCACGTCACCGAGGCAAACACCCTCATCGCGTCGGTCTCCAACACCAACCCCCAGACCTGGTTGAAGACTTTGACCGAGTAAGTCACTCAGGAGCCCTAATCCAACTAGCGAGTGCGTGCTGATAATTTCTAGCTTCTACAACCGCTACTACCGCTCCACCTACGGTACCCAAGCCGCCACCTGGTTGTTCAACCAGGTCAAGACTGTTGCTGCTGCCAACTCAGCCATCACGGTCACCCAGTTCACCCACTCCTTCAGCCAGCCGTCAATCATCGTCAAGATTCCCGGAACCAGCTCCGACCTGGGTATGTCGAACCGTCCGTCTCCATCGTAGCCTTCTATGTGCTAATCGTGACCATCAGTCATTGTTGGTGCCCACTTCGACTCCACCGGAGGATCTTCCACTGCCCGTGGACCCGGTGCTGACGACAACGGCTCCGGTGTCGTTGTCATTCTCGAGGCTCTCCGCGTCCTCGCCAACGCTGGCTTCAAGCCCAAGAACACTCTCGAGTTCCACTTCTACGCCGGTGAGGAGGGCGGCCTTCTCGGCTCCCAGGCTGTCTTCGCCAACTATAAGTCCGCCGGAAAGACCGTCCTTGCCTTCGTCAACCAGGATATGGCCGGTTACTCTCCTTCTGGAAAGCTCTCAGTCTACAACGACTACGGTAAGCTCATCACTTATGGATGACATGCACGCATGTAGTAGTATCGCTGACTCCTGATAGTTGATTCCGCTCTTACCACCTACGTCCGTCTCATTGGAACTCAGTACACCGGTAGCGCGCCCACCAGCGACGTCTGCGGATACGGGTGCTCCGACCACGCCAGCGCCCGCTCCAACGGCTTCCGTAAGTTGACGCCAATATTTTGGGAAGTGTGAAACTTAATGGCTAATTTGATCCGACAGCTGCCGCCTACGTCTGCGATGAGCCCATCGACACCTCCACCCCCTACATCCACAGCCCCAACGACGTAAGTTGCCGGCATTCCCACTTTAGCAATCGATCAAATGCTGACTTGACATGCAACAGAGCTACGACACTATCCAGTGGTCTGCCGTCCTCCGCCACTCCAAGTTCACCGTTGGTTTCTTGGTTGAGGCTTCTTACTTGTAATCTGTGTAAATATCTAAACAAGCGCGGGGTGATTTCATGTATATACATCCCGACTTGTGTGTCAATATATTACATTCAAGAATGCACATAAGCCACAGGCTTTCAAACTAGTGGAAAGCTAAAAGTTATTGTCTTCTTTGTGAACCCTATAGTGTCCGCGCAAAACTGCCTTACTGGGAAGAGTTTCCCGAGGAAACCCAACGAACACTATTACCCCAACCCATCTCCGCCCATCGGACGTGGAGACATGCAGACTCTTTCTGAAAGAGATTCTAGATCGACTCCATCAACCTAGGGCGAACACTTGATAAGCCTAGGGCGTGGGACCCCACTTTCTGCCACATACGGTGGTTCCTATGAGACGCAAGGTTTGCAAGGCGTGGTTGACATGGTTGAATGACTCTTACTAGGTGCATACGCCGTCTTCGGCAGGCATCCCGGCCAGACGGCCTTGGATCCCGAGATACGACTAAAGAGGAGAAAACTTCGTGCACCGAACTGAACGTTCTCTCTGGCACATATCACGTACTTACCGTCAAATTCCGGAATCGTTCTCGAAAGCCACGATGGGCGCCTCAGAGGAGCGAGATAGAGTGGCTGTGACCGAATCCCACGATGCGCCGGGCGCTATTGAGCTGGGGGCGATGCGCAGTCCGACGAGTTCTCGCCATCACGACCCCGAATCTAGCCCATTGGCCTGGCTATGTGTTTTAGGATCATTTATGTTTCTTTACCCATCATACGGTAAGCGTCTTCATGATACCCTTGTTTCTCTGAGACTATGCTGATGATTTAATAGGGTTCATGCAATCTGTTGGAACTGTTCAGTCATACCTCCAGCTACATCAGCTGAGTGAGTACTCCACCCGCGATCTAGGTTGGATCAGCGGGATCTTCACCTCACTTGCGCTGTTCCTTGGAATCCAAGCCGGACCATTGATGGATGCCTATGGGACGAAGTGGCTGGCTCCCATCTCCGTGGCACTCTATGTGCCCGTGTTCTTCATCATGGGTGAATGCACGCAATACTGGCACTTCATTCTTTGCTTGGGAGTACTAGGCGGCATCGGCGGTGCCCTCACATCAACAGTCGCTGTGGCAGTTATCGGAAAGCTCTTTAACCGCCGCAAGGGGCTTGCCATGGGAGTCGCCCTGTCCGGATCCTCGTTCGGGGGTGTGACCATCTCGATGATGCTTCGGTCCATCCTGCCTCGACTGGGCTGGCAGTGGTCCATGAGGATCATGGGATTCCTAGTCCTTGGTATTATGGTTCTGGGCGTCATTTGTTTCCTCCCCTACCCTCGCCTGTCCACTCCTGTCTCTGGAGCACCCGTTGGGAGAGTCGGAGCCCTGCTCAATTTCTCCGCCTTCCGCTCCCCTCCATTCGGCTTTATGGCCGGTGGTCTCTTCATGCTGGAATTTGTTCTCTTTGGAATTACCGGCCTATTGCCTACTTTTGCCATTGCTGCAGGCTTCCCTTCGAACATTGGGTTCTCCCTCGTGGCCATTCTGAACGGTACTTCATGTTTCGGTCGCATCATGACCGGCGTAATCGGCGATAGAATTGGCCACCTCAACATCCTCCTCATCATGATAGGTATTACGATTGTGTTTACTGGGGTCGTTTTCGTACCTTTTGGAACCAAGCATATCGGTGCTTTGTATGCCTTTGCCGCGCTTTGGGGCTACGGATCGGGATCCTTTCTTTCGAGCACACCAGGTAAGAAATCTCCATGATCTCTATATTGTTGGACGAAACTGCTGACACAGCTTAGTCTGTTTAGGAAAGACTTGCGAGCCAAAGGATTACGGGAGGTACTTGGGTAAGTGATGCTCTTCCATCGCTATCGCCTTCTTTGTTGACTAACGATATGACTTCAAGGCACCATGAACTTCGTAGTCAGTTTCTCGTTGCTAGTAACCGTACCCATCGGTGGACAGATGCTGGAGAGTATGGGCGGAACAGCGCTCTCGGGATTTTATCTTGCTATTCTCTTCTTGGGCGGTGTTTGTTATTTTGCTGCCCGCTCCCTTCTTCTAGGCGGTTGGCTTACGCTGAGAGCCAGTATTTGAGCACATTTGATATAGAATAACTGGAATAAAGAGGTGGCCTTAACTATGACTAGTTCAAGATACTTAACGGATTTATCAATGAGGCAGAACCTGGAAAGCCGAGGAGTCAGGATTTATGCGGCTGACATTGTCAGAAGGGGCTTTTCCTAGTGTACCTAAGGGGTGAGATCGGCGGGCAAGGGAAGGCCTGACGGAGTTCAATTTGTGTAACGAACTTAGAATGCTTATGGTTAGGAATAGTAATTTAACAGATATGAAAACTACACCTGCCCACTAGTCTTCCTAATGATATGATCGAATTTGTGTTTTGGGCGGCACAGGTTCACCATGAACGGCCAGACGAGGTGGTAGATGGTCCACCCGAAGGGCGCAGAAGACATCTCGACCCGGTGCAGGACAGACAGGCCGGACCGGTATTATGAGTGAAGAACTGGGTTGACGACCGGAGAACCGGCTATTGTCTCGACAATTCCTTACCTTTGCGGAACGGCACCGGAAGAAGTTCTCCACTTTTGAGGCTCTAACTACCCTTCGGGGACAGCGATGCACGCCGTCCGGTGCGGGGGTGCACTATCGTTCCGAATGACCGGCTTATCAACCCCGAGATAGTCACATGTGCCGCTTTCGGCGCCATTGGGAAGTTAAATCGCCGGCAATTGCCTCAGACAACCTATTTAAAGTCTCTCTACCTCTCATTCGATGTACCGATGGCCAAAGTTTACTCCTCTTCAGTACCATCCGCCAGGTTACCTCCTTGTTACTCCTAGTGGTGAAGAATAAACATGGGAGACGCCAACATGAAGGGGAAACCCCATCCACTTGATCCTCTGCGACCAGAAGAAATCAGCCAGGTGAGTGATCTTCAAGAAATCAATGCGATAGGAGCTACGTATGCGATATGATTGTTGACATAATGCAGGCCGCCGGAATCGTCCGTGAGTCGAACCACGGCAAGAAGATATTCTATCGAGCAATCTCTCTCGTTGAGCCACCAAAGAAAGATCTGGTCAAGTTCCTCGACAGCGAGCATGGCGGTAATAGAGATGCCGTCCACCCGGAAAGACAGGCCAGAGTGCAGGCTTACGTCGCCAAAACTTTGCACGAGATGATTGTCAACTTGGACACTGCGACCGTCGCTTCTACCACCCCGCTGCCAGGTCGCCATTCCTTCATCGACACTGACTTTATGGCACAAGTTGATGCGGCTTGCCTGGCAGATGAGAACATTCAACGCGAGATCAGTGCCCTCAAACTACCAGAAGGCGCTACCGTTGTCGTTGAGCCATGGGCATATGCTACCGACGGCATGAAGGATATGAAAGACCGCTGGACAATGGTGAAATTACAACATATTCCGCGCATATAAAATATTGAACTAAATACTTTAGGCATGGTTTTATATGCGACTCTCTGACAACCCCGACGCGAATTACTATGCCTACCCGTTGGACATATGTGCGGAGGTATCTAACTCCCTCGAAGTGGTCAAAATCTACCGACTGCCTTCTGGAGAGCACGATAAGCTCAGTGACGAGGGCAAGGAATTTGATCGCCGCAAAATCCATTCCAACAGCGAGTATCATCCAGATTTCGTACAAGAGCGCAGGACAACGACAAAGCCGTACCACGTCTCCCAGCCCGAGGGTCCGTCGTTCAGTATCGAGGAAAACCATGTTTCTTGGGAAAAGTGGACATTGAGAGTCGGCTTCAACTATAGAGAGGGCATGACTCTTCACGACATCCGTTTCGAGGGCCGCAGTCTATTTCATCGTCTATCTCTAGCCGAAATGTTCGTGCCTTACGGAGATCCTCGATGCCCCTACCCTCGGAAAGCCGCTTTTGATTTGGGAAACGACGGCGCAGGAATCAACGCCAATAATCTCAAGTTGGGCTGCGATTGTCTCGGGCATATCAAGTACTTTGACGGCTGGCTCAGCACCTCATCCGGAGAACCTTTGAAGATGCCAAACGTTATTTGCTGTCACGAAATTGATGATGGTATTCTTTGGAAGCATACAAACTTCCGGACGGGGAACGCTGTAGTCACGAGATCTAGAGTTCTGGTACTGCAGACAATCATCACGGTCAGCAACTACGAGTACATCTTCCTCTTCTATTTTCAGCAGGATGGGTCCATCTTCTACGAAGTCCGTGCCACGGGCATCATGTCGACAGCACCAATTGATCTTGACACCAAGGTTCCATGGGGGACCATTGTCGCCCCAGGTGTGTTGGCGCCGTATCACCAACACATCTTCTGCTTGAGGATGGACGCTGCTATCGATGGGCCTCAAAACTCCTTGGTTGTCGAAGAGTCTCACCCGATTCCCTTCAGTGGAGAGACAGACACGTATAACCCTTTTGGTGTAGGATACACCACAACGTCACAAGTCATTGAGAAAGAGGCAGGCTTGGATCTCGATTTCAACACGAACAAAACTTTCAAGATTGTCAATGAGAATGTCACCAATTCAACTACAGGAACTTCTGTCGGCTTCAAGCTTCTACCCCACTACAGCCAGCTTCTCCTCGCCCAGCCAAACTCATGGCACGGCAAGCGTGCAAGGTACACATCTCACGCTGTCTGGGTGACACGACATCACGACGACGAATTCTTCCCGGCCGGGAGGTTCACCATGCAGTCAACCGGAGACGATGGCATCGGATCCTGGATAGAGCAACGGAAGGACGGTGACTCGTCTTCGGTGCGCAACGAGGATATCGTAATCTGGCACACGTTTGGGTCTACGCATAACCCTCGTATCGAAGACTGGCCGGTGATGCCGTGCGAGAAAATGATGATAGGGCTGAAACCGGTCAACTTCTTTCAGGGTAACCCTGCTCTTGATGTGCAGATTTCAACACAGGAAAAAAACCGTAGTGTGCTGGTGCACGGTGCTGGTTGTGAGACTTAGAGTTCAATATTAAAGTATGGAAGGGCTATTCTCGCTGACGCCAATGGTTAAAATAACGGCAACTCAAGTAACAGAGACCAAAGTCAAAAGGCCTCGTCAGCCTATAACTTAGTTCAGCCACGTCCCCGAGAGCTTTTGGAATGTGAATACCCGCGGTTGTTAAGATTCAGACCATGTCTTCAAGATTCTTTCTAGGAAAACCTCAGGAGCAAAGACTGCTCCAGATTGTATTGCGAGTCGCGCAGCAACCGGCTTTTCGCATAGCGCGCATGGCGTCACGCGTGTGCGAGTACCATAGCGTTGCCAAGGAGTTCCCAACCGCCGTATTAAGTACTTCTTTACTGGTGGACATACCCACTAGAATCCCATTCTTTAGACTTTTGAAGTCGTCTCTACTTTTCACGTTGAGTGGTTCCTGAGTCAGTTTTCGCGGAATCACTTGCCCGATGAGGCGCCATCATTACGAATCATGGTACCGTTGGATCTGAAACAACAGGGAATCTGAGGCACTTGGTGGAGAACACGAGCTTGATAGTATGTAAGACATGAAGAAGATGAATTAGCTAATATGTGGTACGGCTGTCTTTTTACCTACAACCTGAAGATCTGAATCTCGGGGGTTCTGTCCGAAAGTAAATCGTCCATCCCGTCGCAAGTGTCAGATGTATTTATGATGAAGACCAGGGTCATGCCGACTACCTTAGTAAGAAAATAGGTACTGTTTGATATGGTTCGGTAGATGATAGTCTGAGGAAAGCTATTTCACGCCATCAATTTGATAAGTCATTCAATCTCCCCAAGGCGCGTATACCCGAGCCTGCTGTATGACTGTCCAGCTTGCATTTTCCAATAGACAGATAACAACGTAAGTAAGATAGAATCAAAGAGTGTGAAACATAGAGCCGGAGACTCCTTTAGTGGGACTCGGTTTGGTGAGTTATGTCTACGCCATCATCGAATTCACCAGGCCGAACATGTCCTCGAGCAATTCGCCCGTTGTGGCTTCGTATCCAGGGTACTATTATTTCGTCACAAGCTACTCTAACAGTCCGGAATTTGCGTCCAAACTTAGGGTCATCAACTAGGTCGATAGGTTGTCGGACGAACCCGATCGTCGGATGTGCGGGTTGAGCGAGCCCGGCTGTCTGTCTCAGACCATCCCAGTGAACGGCATCTCCAGACGACCCCACGTTGACCGGCCGCAGTTGCTTCAGGTGGCCAGGCTCAACAAGGGTCGTCCTGCTATTTCAGATACATCTTGAGTAGATCCCGGTTCCCCAGTGGCACCAATGTTGGCATTGTGGGAACGCAATATCAACAAAATGACACAGGCGTTCGAGGTCGGCTCAAGTTATAAATGGTTTTGAACTCCCCATCCCACGGCCAATTTCAAGATACCCTCTTCACAGCATCACTCACTCCAATACGCTTCGAAAAATATGCAGTTATCTTTCTTCTACACGGCTGTCCTTCTGGCTGCTGGCGTCGCCGCCCAGTCCTGTTCGTCGACTATCACATACTGCACTGGAGGCGCCTGCTTGTGCTTTGCCGATGGTATCACCGAATCCCTGAACGAAATGTGTAAAGGCAAGGGATTCGAACGCTCTTTAGGACCGTCAAAGACTACGACTGAGGCCGTAAGTTTGATTCTCCGTTCTCGTCTTGACTAGCTGTCCTAATGACTTGTGTTTAGGGCGAGCGATGCGACACCCAGTGCTGCACTGGCTAAGCCGACCACTGTTAAGACGACTGGAGATTTATAGGCAGCATTGTAATTTTAGCGTGTTGCGTCAAAAGATATAAGCAATCATCAGCTTTTTACCAATGCCTAATGCCATGATTCAATTGTCACATGTCCCAGTCGTTTTTCTAGATAAAGGCCCATTCACTCGCTCACGCTACCTAGTTTATTGAACAATACTTGAGCAGCTGATGCGCCATCGAGCTATTCTATGCGTACTAGCCATGTTTCGTCAGAATGCGCAATCCTCCTGCGGTGCTAGCCCAATCACCCAGCACAAATTGGCAAAGTTCGTGTTCTCCAGCTGCCTGCATTATGATGCTCCAAGCTTCCGTATCAATAACAGGACACAATTGTCGACAATAGAATAATGAAACTCGATTGACTATACAGAACCAAAGAAGGTTATCGCGTGGGCGTCAAGCATTGCAGTACAGCGTGTGAACAAGTTTCAGAGCGGATGCGACATGGGGAGCTTGGTGCAGCCTGGCGAGAATATGCGACTTCTGGTTCGTTGCTCTTGAGTCCCACTGTCAACCAAAACATATAAGCGAACAGTGGGTAATTAAGGTTGGCGCCGACGGCTATGCATCTTAACGCTGGCCGTTTTCCGTCTATAACACCATATCCGCCTAGACTTAGGCCAAGAGAAGGCGGTAGATAGTCTACCATCTACTGTGTTGCAACGTTCATCTTTCACCTACCCTATTTGACATGTGGTTTATCCTGTTTCCACCACTTATGCATCGGAGCCGTCTGATTCCCCTCTGTGGGGCTTGGAAACTGGCTTTTCCACCAAGAGTTGTCCCAATCTGTCTCTTCGAAGACCTCGTATCAATGCATGTCACAGCCATTGCTGCACGAGTTGCCTCAAAAGAGTATCCGACTTGGGAGAGATGAGGTTACCAGCTGTTCGTCGCAGCGTATGCTCTTCCCGGATGTCCGAAGGCGAAGAAAAGGGAAGAAGCGACTCTTGCCATGTGTGATGAAGAAGTTCCTAAGTAAGGCATGTTCAAACTAAATACCTATATAGACCGGTCGTCCGAAGGCGCTGATGTCCTACTGTTGCTGGGTCGGAAAACCAAGTACGTTTTAGCCTTCAGCACATGTTGCATATTTGACATCGACACCTATTTTCATCAATCTAGAGGAACTCGTTTCAATATGAGATTCGCGGCCATCGTCACTACGCTCGCTCTCCTCACCGGTTTTGCAGCTGCGGCTCCAGCTGTTCCTGGCAATGCTGTCGAACCCCACCAGACCCGAGATGGTTTCTATTGTCAGGAATGCGTAGATGGAAAGAAGGACTGCGTTGCCTGCACAGATGGAACTTGCCTGGGATGGGCCTATGACTGCTAGATGGCAATGCCAATTCGTTTCACGACCTCGCGCATAGAAGTACGGATTTGTCCGAAATTAGTCAATACACGTTGATAAGCCATCGTTTAGTCATGGCTGACATCTTGACAGGTCTCGAAGCAAACTGATTCTCATGTCTGGGGTTGAGGGTGTCATCAATGCTGATAGAAAAGTTTGGATATCATGCTCACCGCAGCTTCTACGAACAGAGGAAATAACTGGCGCTTCCAGTACACACAGTGAGATCATTAAATAGCGAAATGAGTAATTTTTGATCATGCGCTCATACCAATTCCCTTCCCAAAGTCCCGTGCTCTTTCAATCCAATCATTACTTTGAACCGACCCCGAACTTGCTGTTGCGCCTCACCGGCTTCTCCGAATTCAATTGCTCCCGTCCTGAGTCCTTATCCGTCATAACCGAATCATCATACGAGACATGAACCTTGTTAAACTCCTTAGTATCCTCAAACCATAAAATCATTCTTTGTCTTCGCTCTTACATTGGTCGTCTTGATGATGCCGTTGTAGGTCATAATCTCCTCTTCACTACCGTCTGGTGAGTGGCCTCGGATTTCGGTGTGTGTGCTTCGCATGTCCTTCAGCGGGAACCCGTTGCCGACAGTATTCCGATTCAGTCGACCGGTCCCCGTGCCGTTCCCAGTGCCGGCACCGTAACGACCGTATTGACTGCTGTTGTATCCTGCGTTGTCGGCGCTGCTCTTGTTGGAGAACATGCCCGGCATCCATTTGCGGAAGAGTGGCCGCAAAGCCGGGACGCAGGCGGCGATGATGGAGAGGTTGACTTCGATTGCGCTGTATGTGTCGCCAATGCCGTCTCGGGGATCGTAGCCAGGGGTGATGTTGTAAAACTTCTTTCGGAGTTCGTGGACACGGAGAATGGCCACAATGATTGACCTTCCACAAAGTCAGCATCGAAGGGTTCAAATACAAGGTCAATCCAGGCCTTCTGGGTTCATGACGATCTTTCAGGTGCCATGACTTACACTCCACCTGCTAGGAATACCACTATCAATCCAATCTTAGCGGCCATGCGCATCTTCAAACCGAGGAAGATCCAAAACGGAATAGCGAGAACGAAGAAGTCGGTGATGATGGTGATGATAGCGCTAACGATGTAAAATAGCGGTCCATCAATTTCCCTTTGCTTGGGAATAGTCGCATCCCAGAAAGCGTTTATCGGAAGAGTCTGAAAGAGCACTACCAAGAAAATGGCCACCATTGTCGCCAGGTTGATGGCATTGAGGGCGTAAATGGTCCATCGTACACCGCGCTTGTGCCCGCCTAGGCGTAACAAAAATACCAGAATCGATGATTTCACGAGCGCGAGGATGGGATTGTAGAGAACCTGCATGATCCAATTCCAGAACAGCATGGGGGCGGGATCCCAGTCTGCAGGTAGCGCTGCCGTAGGGAAGCCGGCGTAGTAGTACTTGAAGAACATGTATGTTGGAGCCAGTAGTGCCATTGAGAAGAACTGCCATGTTGATGTTAGTCAGGGCAGGCAACACCGAAAGGTGGTGATCGGCACTCTGCCGGTGGAGGCAGGCCTGGTCTTACCATGGCTCCGGTCATGAACCAGTCATCTGATGGAATTATGAGACGAACACTCGACGAGAAAAGCTTGGGTTGGATGACTTACCAAGTCCAATCTGTTTTGATGTCCATTTGCTGTACATTCTCAGGGCATAGGTCAAGAATGCAGTCAAAGTGAATAAGAACAGAATCGCCATGATCACCTTCTGCAAAGGCGTCGATGGTAGGTCCTCGACGTTAGCCCACCGAACCTCAACGGCCCGCTGAGCGACGAGTTCCATGTCTGGCCCTCGTCACAAAGTCGAAGAATGAGTATGGAAGTTGAACTGCCCTGATGGAAAGAAAGTAAAGTTTGAGCCTCTGCAGACTTGGCACCAAAGTCAAACTTGAAATCCGGGGGTGGAAGAGCAGGCCGGGGAGAGGTCGAAGAAAAGGCTCGGGGGTCGGGTTGCGCGATGGGCCCGTGGGAGAGTTTGTGAGATATATACAAGGTGTTGGGTCTTGAATTTCCTTCTGGGTCACTGAGAGATCGTATCTCGTATCGGCTACACTTGGGAAAGGGGAGCCCTCAGCATTTCGATCTTGATCTTGGGAACGCTTGGTCAGTGTTCTTGAGCATAGTTACTTACCATCGCCATCCGTAACAGGAGAAAACCAGGAGACTAGCTGTGATCTTACACTGAACAAGGAAGCAAGGTAACGTCCATCTGAGGCCTCTACAGGAGCATTGTGTTCAAATGGACAGGAAGGGGGAGTATTCAGTATTCGATCCTGCCTAGTGGTACGCCAATCGTGACAGACCTGCATTCTCTACGACCCCGTTTCATGGTAAGGCTGGGGTCGAGACGGACTAGTCTCGCAACTTCCCGGTCGGTGATTTCCACGGATAGTAAGAGAACAGGGCAGAGAGGAGACTTGGGGGTTCCCGCAGAAAACTTGCTGAAGTTCTTCAAATCTCCGCAGCTTGGGTTGCATTGCTGCATCCCTGGCCGGAGAACAGAGGTCGGCAGCACACTGATTCAGGGTCGTTCCTCCGCCAGCACCAGGCGACATTGAGATCTTGTGCTCCTAGGTTCACTGCCAAGTAGGGAATACTCCTTCGTGCAGACTCCAGGATCCATGGGCTCTGCGTACCCGAGGCTTGCCCTAGTAAATATGGAAAAGAAGACTTGTGAGTGGCTAGTTGTGCAATGGCGTTCGAGACGATGCCAGGGTCCTGTCAAGGATGGCGCATTCTCGAACACTGCAGACTCTCGACTATCAGGTTCCTGCAGTCCTCTGCTGCCTCTAGACAAGGATTGCTGCGGACTATTCCAGATAACTTGAAAGCTTAATACCGACAATCCGGGCAGAAATCCGGCTTCCGTGCTTCATTTGGACTATCAATACGCCATGGAGGCAAGACTGTTCGGTAACGTCTGGGATAGCCATGGCGTAGATGGTCCAGTCAGGCAGAAGGCCATCCACGATGAGACAGGATGGAATTGGAGGATAGAGCGTAGAGCCACACAAAGCAGTGTTACTTGCAGAAGGGCACGTGCGTTCAATCGCATTGTCAAATCTGGATGATACAGTCATTCTGTACGGGGTATCATTGGTTCTGTATGAGGTAGGTACTTCGCATCATCCATCGAAGGACCGCCTCATATTTCGTCCGTACATGCTCGATACTCCTCCAGCTTTGTTGCTTATGCCCAGTCACCACTATGGGAAATTCCATCAACCCTAGGCCAACACACATTTGAGCTGAAATACGTTGTTGGCCGACCGTGTTCTGGCCCTACACGAATCGTATTTTTGCAAAAGCCCACCGGAGAGAAGCCTGCTATGCGGTCTTGGATCGGTAAGTGGATTAGTTCGGTCCGCATAGCATCACAATCTGAGTAAGGCGTCGTGGTGTTTCCCGGAGCATGGGGCCGGTGAATGAGATTCAGGATACGACCTCGCACTTTTGTTACGCGGTGATTTGTGAATACGACGTTCCCCTCTTTCTTCATCGCCTCGGCCGAGGCTGGCGAGGGACGTTTTTCGCCTTTGAATAAATGCAGGCAACCATCGTCAAGCATTAGGGGAGTGAGGTGGAGCTATTGTCTGTGTTGAGCACTAGCGGGTTGGTGTGAATGAATCGTAGAAAGTCCACCAGCGACTCGGATTGAGTCCTGACCCCTTGGCGACCAAGTAGTGATTTCCGAATGCTACCTGGTATACAGGGTTGAAGAAAAACAGAGTTTGCTGTGCCGCATTGGCGCAGGACGAATTTGCAGACAATCATGCAGAGAGGAAACCCCCTTAAGACGGCAAATATCCCCTCAAAGATTCTCTCTCCAATTTCTGGACTCTTGCGGTGTCTTCCATGGGTTGCAATGAGGAATGCGTTTGGGGCTATGGGAAAAGTCGTACGATTTCTCTCTGCCCGATTTTGAAATGTCGGTTGGACATGCCTTTGGTAGAGGTAACCGATTTGATGGTTCATCTACCCGTACAGTCTGATTTGATCTTACTTAGTTGACGAATTATGAGACATTAGCAAGATCGCAAAGATAAACTCAACGTCTTCCCCAGAGGCACGGCTCGCTATCCACATCCCTTATTATGTGGATAATGGGCAGTTTGTTCGCAAATCCCTCAGTCTTGCCCGCAATTGCACCAATCTCCAAGATCCCTTTTCGGGGATCCCTAGACTCTGTAGTGGGGATTTACTGACGCGGACAGCCGGAATTTCGTTGCGGACAAGGTACACAGTGGAGCGGCGGTGCTCGGAAGAGGACAAAGCGTGCAGAAGATTCACCGGGGGGGCCATGTTCCATATGAATGATCTCCAGCTCCCGACACTCTCTTCGCCACCATACCTTTCGGAGGAAGACAGATGCTGATAGGTACGGATAGACCACAAATAGACGGGGCTTATTCAGCTTGGCTTAAAGTTGGGAGACGCCTCAGCCGCTACCCAGCGCCTTCACAAGAGACGAGCTCGTCCAAAGGTGCGGTAGACTTTTGCCCACAGACAATGGTCTTAAATCGTTAGTGTCGGCGGTGCGGCGCCGGCACTCGGGAGAGAACGTCTAGAAGAAGTTGTTACCACGGTCTTGGAGACACCAGCCAGCTTGCTACAGTACTTGCGCAGTTTTGCAATGCCGATGCTGTTCATGTCCCACCGTTGTAACCCCCGGCGCGGGGTCACAGCGATTCTCGCCACCAACGTTGCTCTAGTCTACTTCCCCCCCGAACCCCTTGGCCAAACAGATATCCAGATCTGTGTAAGCGAGCCCGGGCCCCGGTGCAATTCCTGCCCGGGGGCGGACCCAAGATCCCTTCTCGTCCAAATGGTCCCTTCCTCCTTGAGTCCTTCATCCTCGTAATTTGGTGAGATGTCGTGGCCTCTGCCGCTATCGAATGCAAGGTCTCCGCCACGACTCCGAGGACGGCCGGGATATGTCGGCGGGCTCAGGTAGGCAGTGTCAACCGTGGACTATCGACAACGGGCAGTACGGTAGTGGGAATATCTCGCACTTGTTATCGAACCATACGCGTAGTGTCACCGGTGTGTAAAGGAAGGATGGCAAGATGCAACGCTTCCACGTGGATGTTATAAATCCCGTGGTGTACTGCTCGTTTCTGCACGCTCGCTTCTTTCCCGCCGCACCGCCAGCCACAAACCCGGTGATCAACCATTGGAGGTTCCTGTCTGACAAGCACGCAAACCCGTTCCTTGTCGCGCCCTCTGTCCAATCTTTTACTCCTTCAGTCTGAAGTTATCAATCCCCAAATCTCTTGGCACACAATATGTCTCGACTCAGCCAGGCCCTCCTCCTGGCCGCTGCCCTCCCTCTGGCGTACGCTCAGACCATTGTGGTTGACGATGCAGTAATCGGTATGTTGATCTCGCATTTTGACTTTCCACATGTGAACCCCTGAGGGTTCACATGCGAGTGCTCTGCGACTTGTATCATGACTAACCTGTCGCTCATATTGTAGAAGCCAACAAGTCCACAGTGGCCCCGGCCGCTGAACCCGTTGTCGTTGCCGCTTCCACTGATCTCTTGAAAGAGGAGAGCGTTCAGCTGACGGACGCCGTTCTGGCCAACCTCACGGACCTCTCCCTCTCCAACATCTCCCTATTTGACTTTGACACCACCGCCGCCGGGGAGAAGCGTTCTGGAACGGCCCGCACCTTCAACAAGTGCAAAACTTATCCCGGGGATCTCCTATGGCCAAACAAGGCAGTATGGAGCGTCTTCAACCTCCTCACCGGATTTGCCGTCACCGAGACAGTGCCTATTGGCGCTTCCTGCTTTGATGACTTTGGCAACTATGATGCTACTCGCTGCCAGTACATCACCAACCAGTGGACCAACTCTACGATCCAGTAAGCGAAAGCCACTTTTCCTATACGTTCTGATTTCAACATGCTAACAAAACATGAAGTGCCGAGGATCCAACCTCAGTCATGAGCCCTCTGTACCAGGGCCTGACTTGCATGCCGCCCTCAGTCGACAACAGCTCCGCCGGCACCTGCACCGTCGGTGGCTTCCCCTCGTACGTCGTCAAGGCCACGAATGTGGCACAGATCCAGCTCGCAGTCAACTTTGCCCGCAACCTCAACATTCGTCTTGTGGTCAAGAACACTGGCCATGACTTCAACGGTCGCTCTTCCGGATCCGGTGCCCTCTCGGTCTGGACCCACCACCTCAAGAGCATCAACTTCTATCAGACCTACACCACTTCCTCTTACTCTGGCCCCGCTATCAAGGTTGGTGCCGGCGTTCAGGGCTTCGAGTTGTATGAGGCAGCTGAGAAATTCGGTGTTACTGCCGTCGGAGGCGAGGGCATGACTGTCGGCTATGCTGGAGGCTACCTTGCTGGTGGTGGTCACTCACCGCTGTCGCCCAAGTACGGAATTGCTGCTGACTCGGTAAGAATGCTTCTTCATATGTTCTACACGAAGCTACTTTACTGATGTTGTATTTCTCCAGGTCTTGAGCATCGATGCCGTCACCCCTGATGGACGCTTCGTTACTGCCAACGAGAAGCAGAACACTGAGCTGTTCTGGGCTCTTCGAGGCGGCGGTGGAAGTAAGTTGAGCCATTCACCATCAAAGGAAAAACAAGCTGACCATTCATAAGACACCTATGGTGTCGTTACCTCATACGTCGTCAGAGCCTACCCCAAGATCGACACCATCGCTGTCATGACCTTCAGCTTCAGCACCAGCGCGACCGTCAGCCACGAAGCCTTTTGGGCTGGCGTCAAGGCCTACTGGGAGGGACTTCCCACCTGGAACGCGGCCGGCAACTACGAGTACTGGAACATCTTCCACACCGGCCCCGATGCCCTCACCTTCACCATGCTCCCCTGGTTCGCTCCCAACATGACTCTCGTCCAACTCAAAGAGCTCACCGCTCCGCTGTTCGCCAAGTGGACGGAGCTGGGCATCACCGTCGATCCCGTTTACACCGAGCACAAGAGCTTCCTCCCCGCCTGGAAGGCTGGATTCCCCAAGGAGTCCGTCGGCGGCACAGCCGCCAAGACGGCGTGCCGTCTCTTCCCTACTGAGAACTTCTCCGATGCCACCAAGTTTAACGCTACCTTTGAGGCTATCAAGGGTCTCAGCGACAAGGGCGGTCAGATCATTGGCTTCGGCATCACCGGCGGCCCCGGCCCTTACCCCGACAACGCCGTCAACCCGGCGTGGCGCGGCGCTGCCATGTTTGCCATTTCAGTCATGGGCTGGGACGTTGGCACGCCCGCTGAGGTTGTCGCTGAGAAGTCGAAGCTGTTGACCAACGAGTGGATGAAGCCGTGGCGGGATGTCACTCCTGGCGGTGGCGGATATGCCAGCGAGGGTGACGTGACTGAGCCTGACTTCCAGCAGTCATTCTACGGTACCGAGAAGTACGCCCGCCTTCTCGCATTCAAGCAAAAGATTGACCCCACTGGTGTCTTTTATGCCAACTTGGGTGTCGGCAGCGAGAGTTGGTACGTCACGCGCCAGCTTGATGGCTTTCCGACTCAGAATGGCCGTTTGTGCCGTGTTTGAGTGGATGTTGGTAGTTGTCCAGAGACAGACGTGCATGAACTAGATAATGTGTGTAGTTAATAGATGAGATGACAATCATTAAGAGAAACTCGGCATGTGATCAGAGGAATATGGAAAACGTTTTTGAATTAGCTTCGCGGTTTTCAGTGACTATTCCGTCTTCTTGAATCAGGGATACCGCAGAATGAATAGATCGACCAGCAATTCGAGCTCTAGAAATAGACATACGTATCCACTTGCGTGTCCAATCAATTTTCTTGTTATCCTCGCTTTGGTTCACTAATCCTTTGAGCCTAGATGTACTAAGAAGACTGCAAGGCAGAATTTGTAACATTCATATTGCAAGAAGGTCTCCTCCGGCTGGTAGGCATTGATATCAACCAATAGAGTGTTGAAGTAATCGTCTCACATTATTTAAATGATGGCAGTCATCTTAGCATCCAGGAATGGCTAGTATCTCCGCAGGTAGGGTCTCCAACGCATCTTTCGTGTTAGCTTCATAGTGGCCCGATAAGAGCATCAAGATGAATGAGGTATACGGGCTTAGAGGTTTAGGTCTCGTCGAACGTGGCAACTGCATCCATCTCGCTCACAGAACGGTCGTTGCTCATCCCGTTGGGGAGACTGATAGTAATAGGAAAGTCCCTTGTCTAATCGACATGCTAGTTTCTATATGCTTTATTCAAGAATTCTCTAGCAAGAAAAGAGAACTAGTAATCGTTGCCCCTGATCAATTGTCAAAACAGCGTCTCTAGGGCATAAACTAGCGGGGAGCCTTGGGGTTCGCCTAATTCGATCTCAAATATGGAGATAACACCCCCCTCCCATATCCAAGTACGATGACCGTTGAAAAAGCCACAATACTTGACAAGCGAACTGATTGGATTATAGTCCGCTTTGAATCTGTTCTATAGGTCTAGCCCCCGCAGTTCTTTTGGGCTGAATTCACTCTGCTTCCTCTTTGGCGGTCTACCAGGCCGGGATAGGGGGGGACATGAGCTGCGCCTACGAGACATGTTAGTCCGGATCATCTCGTCCGAACGCCTATTAGGGCACATCTTCTTGGCCGCCCCTGTGATTCGGAGCGGTGTGTCTTCCCACACAGTCAGACTGGCACTCATCGTTGGTGTAGCCGGGTCTGCAGACCAGTGAGACCACATGCAGACGTTCGTATCCGTCAATGGTTGGGTGGAATGCCATTATCCCGAAGCAAGCCTATTACAATGATGATCTTCACTTGCTTGATGCCTTTCTCTGCCTGAGGGCTGCGTGCCATGGGCGATGCCACTGTGGACAGCGTCGATGAAAACACGCCATATGACGAGGAACTGGCGTCAGGTTTGGGGGTATGCCGGACAAGTCCGAGTCCTATGAGAATGAGCTGTACTGTCATTAATGAGATTTCGATCCCTCAAAGTACTAAGCAACGACTGTATCGGGCCGTTGGCCACTCTTGCCGGAGCTGTCAAAGTTGACTGACGATCTTTACCACCTCTTGAAGGTGCATCCTTCTAGAAGCTATGCTGGTGGCTTTTCTTTTTCTTCGTCGTAGCATCGATCGAAGCATGGAAGGACAGAATGTTCTAGTGTGTTGTTACTATTCAGTAATGGATCCTGATGGCTGCCACTAGGTAGACGTCAGCTCCTGATTTCCTTTGCAGATCGTAGTCCCCAGGACTGCCGAGCTGATGTGGAGATCACATATGACGCAGCATCGAGGAATCAATACAAAAAGCTCGATGAACTGGTATTGTATTGAACTTCTTGAACTCTGTGGGGTTTTAAACTACCTTATGGCGGAGCTGTGGTGATGGCAGACTTATGTCACAATGGTCACTGTCCAAATGCGCAGAGATGTCAGTCATGTAGATGACGACGATCAAAAGACTATTGTACCGTATTCGCAAAGTCTCAGCTTTATGCGAGAGCATGAACGAGGTTTTCTTTTGGCAGGAGAGAAGACTGTGCGATTATCCGGGGAATATTTCCAGCTCACCCTTACTGTAGATGCTCCTTCTCAGGGTCACGCCTGCAGCAAGCTACCGTGGTTTCCTTGAACCCAATGTATTCAGTACACTCATAGAACATGTGAACATTGTTACTTGAATTTCGCCCCCGGATTCTATTAGTAGACCCTAGATACACCATCGCAATATCTATGTCACTTCTGAAATTTCATCCAGCTTTCGCCGTCACGATCGCCACTCCTCACAAAAAGACCGGCAATATCTATGGCATCACTATTCCGTACTGCGTCACCCCCAGCTGGGGTGGTTGGGTAAATCAATTTCCGGGGAGACCTTCCAATCAAATCGCATCGCTTGGCACAACCCGGAGTCCAATGTTAGATGAGCACAGCGCAAGCTGCGTGAAGGGCGCGCCACGCGACGGTGTAGATGAAATCAATGTGCTTCATGGATCTAGACTAAGTCTACTAATTGCTTCATAATTTGAACGGAAAATGGCAGTTGAGGAGATTTGGACGAAGCCTTTCAAAAACTTTAGTATGCCAAAGAGGTTTGAGGGTCAGACTAGCAAATGGCAATATCCGTTTCTTACTTAGTTATAAGGACGTAAGTAAGTAGGCGTCACCCCAAGTGACGTTTCTCAGCAAGATCTCGCCACTTTGAGGCGTGAGAAAAACTAAAGGGTTAAATTATCGCCAGGAAATATGAGTTCTCTTCCAGATGGAGGGACGTCCGTCATGCTGAAGACTTATGCAGAGAGATGCATGCTTCTGCAATGGTGTGGGCAAGGCATCGTAGTCTGTTGAGCGAATCAAAGAGGAACATATCACCCTAAGGATTTATCATTTTATGACTTAGCGCCTATCCCCTGTCTAGCGCTTTTCTCGTTTCTCTCGGTGTTGCCGGTCTACAATTCCTTGGTACTGTACATTAGTCTCGCATGATCTGCCAAAGGATGCCGGCACCGGGGGGGCAGCCCAATTGCACACGGAAGCAACTATCAGACCGCCAAATGTTTTTCTTTTTCCTCGATGCCAGCGATGATAAGCCAGTGCGCCCCGTCCAATACCGCTGTGAGGTGTACAGCCGATCACATGCGTTAGAAACGGCGGGGAGCTGTGGCGTGATGTTCGAGGGCCTCGACGCTCAGTGTGGACGGACAATCCGAAAGCCCGCTTGAACCATCCATATTCTTGCCAGAGCCTCAAGGTTACCTGTGGGGATATTAATTGGCGTCCCGTCCAAATGTTCAACGGATCTCGACGCCAAGCGCTATCCGTTATAATTTCGACATCAATCATACATCCTGAGCTGAATACACTTTCGCCTAGCACAACCTTGCCTAGAACAACATTGGGACAATACCTTCAACTCAGACATTGCGATGACTGCCATATCACCAGGAGTCGCCCTAGCCATGGATACGCTGAGCAAGAGAGAGGATGAAGGGATTTGGTATCACAGCCCGTTCGCTGCAAAGCTTTGCAGTTGCATCATCGAAATCACAACCGCTTGTGTACTGTCCAGCTTCATCACACTGCGTGCAATGGGAGTCAGGAGGAAGGGCTGGCAAAACCTGCCGTGGATCATCTGGCTCGTTTTTCTCATTTACGGAACATCTCTGGCATATTCAGTCTCTGCCCTCATCATGCAGTTTGTGGTCGGAAATGGTACGAGCAAAGCAACATGTAGAGCAACAGCACTGCTATGCCCGATTATCTACATGGGAAGCAAGGTAAGAGTCGTTCATCAATATTATGATGAATCTTAGCATGCTAAATAACAAACCTAGATCGTGAGTGTCTCATTTTCAAATGAGTTTGATTCCTCTAGTAACATATTTCAGTTCATCTTCCTGTTTCTTGTTGATCGCGCAGTGAGTACACACTAAAGAAAGGCAATTGCCCGAACCCATGCTGAGTCTTGCCGAAGCACGTCATTCGCAGCACCAAGAAAGCAAGGCTGAGGTCTAAGCTATATCTCTGGAACATTTTCCTGGTCATCGGTGGGTTGACCCAACCATGTTTTGCCTCCCTCGGAGCTTCATGCTTCTGAGGTTCTCCTGCATTTTGGCTGATTTCTAGCGCTAGGCATCTACGGTACGATTAGCAGCTACAACATTGCAGAGTAAGTTTCTGTCCGTAAACACACCATAGGCTAGTGACCAATTCTTCCACCTTAGTACCGTCTGGGATTTGTATGGTGGTGGTTGTCGCATCTACTTTCGATGGCAATCAATGATACCACTCATTGCAATAGATCCACTCGCAACTGTAAGGGATTGCACTGCCGGAGCTCACGGTACAGATGCTTATCATTCTTCTAGGTATACCTGACGATTCTGTTCTTGCAGCCACTTTGTAGTAAGTCAAGCTTTGCGTTCACTGACGTCTTTTAACCGGTCATTAGGGACATATTCGCTGCGGTGGCTACCCTCCACCACCGGTTTCCGTTACTTCCATCCCGTCGCTCATTCTCACAACCCCCCGAACCGTAGGCTTCGACAACTAGCGAAGAGAACCATTATCGGATCAATAGCCACGATGGGCAGCAGTCTACTGTAAGTATTTCGAATGTAATACGACTCCTCGAGGTGATGAAATGCTAACATCACATAGTAACTGCATCACCATAGTGGGTTTGCGGGGTGAGGTTGCGTGGCTATGCATGATGTGTTGCACAAGCGACAGTAAGCCCTTGAAGTTTGTTCCTACTGGTTGAAAATAATCTGGCTGATCATTGTTTCAGTTCTATTTTCAGCCATCGTCATTCACTGGATGATGAACAGCAGCAGTACAGGCACCCGTGAGGCCACGGAGGAATCCGGTACCAAGACCTCTACCAGAGCGCTGTGTCAGCAGCGGCCTTCTCCTCCTGGCGTCGCCTCCCCTCGCCCGATTCACGTGTTGTCTAGCCTGCGAAGTCATTATTCGGCAGGAGTGTAAGGTTTGACGACGGGTAGTGTGAAGCATGGAGATGCATATGCACTTGCTTCCCGAAAGTAATCAGGTTCGATTGGATCAAGCGCGTAGATGTCATGCCAAATGGCTGGAGGGATTTTGCTATCTTTAATTCTGCCTAGGTCGTCCTGTATCATGAGCATACCACAAAGTATAGACACTTCTCGCATCTCGTCTTACGATCGAGGGCTGAACGTTCTGTTGACTCGCGAGTCCAACGTTGGTCTATCTTCCTATAACTTACAGCCGTGCTTTCTCCTCTGCCAAGGGTAGGTACTGCAACACCCATCTAATATTTTCCAGGCCGATATACCACCTTATCCTTAAGCAACCTGGGCGTATCCGGATCGTGACTCGGCAGCACAACGACATCGTGGCTCCGAGCATACGCCTTAATCTTCTTTAAACTCTCAAATGCCGCCACAGGATCACTATTCGCACCATCCGGCTCTTCCTTATCCAACACACTAATTGCATACGTCGCATCTCCCGTCAGCAAATACCTCGTCTTACTCCCATCGTCGTTGTCCCCCACCACAATCAACGAGATGTGACCCGGCACGTGGCCCGGCGTATCGACCGCGACAATCGTGCCGCCCGGCGCAAGCTCACACGACCGACCCCAAGGCCCAACAGCGCGCTTTTCCTCAAAATCAAGGATCCGAGGCTCGAAATCCTTGGGCCACCGGTCCGGCGTGCACCCTTGCATAGCAGCATAGACTGGATGCTTCCCGAAGGCATCCCAGTGTTCTCCGCCGACGTAGATGGGCACATCGGGCGCCTCGACAGCAAGAACCTCCAGGCCGCCGGCGTGATCGTGGTGTAGATGGCTAATGATGATAAACTGCAGATCCGTTGGCTCGATGCCGCGTTTCCGGAGCTGCTTGACGATGCCGTCCTCCTTTGTAACTTCTAGCTTGTTGAGGATGCCCGGCACCGGGTTCCAGCAGGGGAAGTAGCCCGGTTCGGTGCAGTGCGTTGACACGCCCGTGTCGAAGAGGATGGGACCCTTGGGATGGTGAATGAGGAATGCTCCAAGGGGCATGGGACCAATCCAGTCGCCGGTGAAGGAGCGGAGGAAGCGGAGAGCGATATTGCGGTTCTCTATGGGTTGACCTTGCATCCCGGTATGCATCCAGACGTTGCCGGTAGTGATGAACTCGAGCGAGATCTTGTCCGTGGGCGCCATGATTGGCAGCTTTTTTTTTTTTTTAACCTCGCTTTCTGGGATGTTTGTGTGCTCTTTCCGTGCTTTTCTTCGACTCTTCGGCTCTTCGTTGATACCGAGCTAGGTAATGCTGTCCTCTTCTATACAACAGCTGCGATTGATGACGGCTTCCAAAATTTCAGGTCGATTGTCAGTCGAGGGGTAAAAAACGCTGAAGTCAGGCTAACCAACGTTCGTTTGGCCGCGCCGGATTCTTTAAGAATGGTCCCATCGGCTCCATTATGCAGGCACCTGTTTCCCGGCGCGGTGCAAGAATTCCTGTGGCCGTATTCTGGCCAATTATGAGCATTCCGATAAGCATTCAGCTCCGCCAGCCGCAATCCACCCCCAGTGCGAAGATGTCAGCAATAAGCATCCCTGGCAACCGCAGGACCCCTTGCTGGAAGAGGCGCATTCCAGTCAGCCTCGAAATCCATCAGCCAGCAGTTCCCGTGTGTGAGTGTGAGATATTACTCATGTATCTAAACGATGAGTGTGTTGAGAATTGGCGGATGGTTGATCCCGAAAACATGGTTATGGGGTCGACCCGGCGATGCGGCACACTAGCAGGGATGCAGATGACCATAGACATTCAGACGATCGGACAGACTTATCTTTGACTAGCTTCTACCCTCGATCTTTGTGTATTGTCTGTCGTTGAGCCGCCTCATCTTGATGCATATGTTCAATCTTTCACCAGAATTTGTTCCTGAAGTTGAATCGCAATGCCAGGATCTGAAGATCTTGCCTACAGAAACCACCGACTGAAAACTAGGTGAGTACGCTTGGCGCACGGTGGGAAAAGATCTCTTCCCTCACGATTCTTTTCGAGGTTCTCAAATCAATTCGATTCTATCGCAGGTCTAGTTCCATTTAAATTCGGTCATCCGGCTACAGTTGCGCTTGTTTCAATGTTCTTATGGTACGAGATCGGCCCTTTAGCATGGAAATGTGTGTCCATGACACCATCCGCCTTGCCTTTAGAGCGGAAAGTACTCATCATGACCAAAACTTATATGGAGGTGCCAGAGTAACCTACAACATGTTTCTCGGCCGACATTTGCACTGCGCTATAGAGAAAAGCACACAGATATTCGAATTCCAGGTCCAGCCTGAGCTTCTGGGAAAGTGGCCGACTTTCGGTCTAGCTCTGGTCACCCCTCCGGTCACCGGACCCGTACCGAGTCGCAGACCGACCTGGCCACCGATTCACCGATTCACCGAGGTGAGTCGAACCGATAGGGATTTCTTATTCCCGTAATGCCGCAGCGCATCGCAGCTCGCCCTGCAATCTGCTTTTAAGCTCCCTACGGACCCTACCCCAGTTTCAATCTTTTTAAGTAACCAAATTTCCGAACGCGAATTCCCACCCAGGCATCGCAACAAGCATCTAGACCAGGCTATCGACCTCGTCTGCTTTATAAGAAATATCAACAAGATGAAAGCACAGATGGCACCATAGACACTAACGGGAAACCATCACCAACCTCCCCAGCTGTCCCCTTCTCATATCGGAAGCCTTGACTGGCCCCCTCTCCCCTGACAAGCTTTTGCGCTAACAGCGCGCAACACAAGTACGGAGTAATTCGCACAGATGCCTCGACTCGCGCTCTTCGTTTAAGCTTTGCCAGCCCTCAGGATGACCCCTGCCGTGATTCCCCAAAAGCTTGGAGACACCTTCAGACGTTGCACCGAGAACAATTTGCACCAATAAGCAGACTGCAGTCTCCTCGGGTAGGACGGCCATGTTCATCTGATCAAAAACCCTTTGGAAATCCGGTTAGCCGTCTTTTAAACGAGTTCAACAAATCTAGCTTCCGCCCCCTCCACTCAGTACGGCGCAAGCAGCCCAAAAACAAGTGCCGGCATCCCGTCTTGGACCCGCGTCTGGGCGAACTTTCCAGTGCATTGGGGCAATTATTCTGGAAGAATGGAACATCAGGAACAAGGCACACACTGCACGGCGCGAATGGTTCCGTCGTCACAACTTCTCTTGAGCCAGCCGACAAGCGCTCCCGTCGGCTGACCTGTTCGAAAGAGGAAGAAATTCTGCACTTCAACGCGGGGTTAGACTCAGCTTAGTCCCTTTTTCTCTTCGACCGACCTTCACTTCCTCGCGTCATCTTTCCCACGAGGCACCAGACACCTCAACTCGGGCCACAAGAGGGGACGAGCTACTACTCTCTCTCCCTCATTAATCTCACCAGTATTCAACTTACTGTGTACGGCGACTCGGGTCGTATTTAGTCGCCGAAAAGGGCAAGGCTTCTCCGCTGGGAACATCCCAGCTTGGAAGCTCCATACTCCGCCCTCAGTCCGCGTGGTCGGTGGTCGGTGGTCCAACTCCCAGTGCTCCACGATGTTGAGGACGGGCCACCTCAACGACGAGAGCCCGCGATTGGCGGAGATTTCCCTTGCTCGACGACGGACGTCGTGAAACACGAAAGACAGAGCCCCCCTCCCCTCCAACGCCCCTTTCTAGCACACAGCAACCACTGAACCAGATTAATTGTATTGCGCCATCGGTTAGCCGTAAGTGGAGAGGAGTAAGGGATGTCTATGGTTTGGACGCTGTACACCATCTGAGTGGCTCGGTTCCTGTCCAGTAGCAATGTTGTGATAATGCTCTAACAATCAGACGGACTAAGTATACTCAATGACAGTCGATCTGAGCAGTCTTTCACTTGTGATCCGTCCATGTAGCAGACACCAGAGAGATGAGCCAGCGACGGAGATTCGAGGAATGCAGCCACCAGGCCCCCTTCGAAACGAAGCAGCACCGCCGTCCTCCGTGTGCGGGGCGGAGAGGAGCCCCGATGTGACCTCAAGTGCCGCTGCGAGCCTGCGGCTCGTCTGATTGCTGGTCTTTTCCTTGCCTTGCAGCCGCTCGCTAACGTAAAAGTCTACTCTATATGGCACACCACGAGGACCGGCCCCCCGGTGGTCTACCGCTGGAGCAATCCGCCGCTTTCCCGTTATTGTGGTCTCGCCCAGGACTCGACCGAGATGGGGAGGACCCGGTCACCCGGACGAGTGGAAACTACCCTCGTCGAGTTTAACTGGTGTTCTTCCACATTGGCGATATTGAGGAGGCGTATAGGCGATCGTTGGAAACAAATGAACCGGGGTCGAGGGGTTGCACTAGACTCTCGTTAATATTGGTTGGAAGATGGGATTTCCCACGTATCCTGGCCCTGACGGAAAGCTTGTCAAGAGTCAGTTAAGAGCCGCTCTCCTATAAGCTATAAGGCAAAGCTTCCTTCCTCCAATCTGGAGCCTTCCACCCCATATTCTCACGAGACACATACATATCCCTTCGCTCGTTCCGGAGAACCCTGTCACTCTTTACCTCACCCACAGTCCTTCTCTCAAAACAAGACACGATGCGCACTAACATCGCCCTCCTCGCTGGCTTCCTCGGCCTGGCCTCCGCCCTCCCCACCGACGCCGAGTCCGTCGAGAAGCGCCAGACCGTCCCGACGATCTACCTCTGCGGTGACAGTACCACAGCTAAGGGCGGCGGCGGCTCCGGCACCGAGGGCTGGGGCCAGTTCCTGCAGTACTCCTTCTCGACCAGCAAGGCCAAGGTCGACAACCGCGCCATCGGCGGCCGCAGCGCGCGCTCCTACACCCGCGAGGGCCGCTTCGATACCGTGGCAGGGCTCGTCAAGTCAGGCGACTGGGTCGTCATTGAGTTTGGTCACAATGACGGCGGCTCGCTTACGCCTACCGACAACGGACGGACGGATTGCTTTGGTGATGGTGCGCAGACTTGCTCGACTACCTACAAGTGAGTATTTGCTGGTTTGCTAGGGTTCGTGATGAAGAAGACGATGCTGACTGTTGTAAAGTGGTGTTGCCGAGACTGTTCTCACGTACCCTGCGTACCTCAAGAATGCCGCCAAGAAGTTCAACGCTGCCGGTGCCAAGGTATGATCACCGACTTGGATCTCTAATCTCACAAGAATATCTGGCTTACAGTCATCTCGCAGGTCATCATCGCCGCCGCGACCCCCAACAACGTCTGGGAGACTGGCACCTACAAGTTCGGATACGATCGCTTCTTCTACTACGCCTGGTAAGCCCTCAACTTTCTCATCATCCAAACAACCATCAGATTGGAGACTAACACCAACACCCAGGCTCGCCGTTGAGCAGCTCGGCGGCCCCTCCAAGGGCTACTACTTCGTCCCGCACGGCGAGTACGCCGCCCAGGCGATGAAGGGCCTCGGCGCGACCACCACCAACGCGAACTACCCCAACGACCACACCCACACCGCGCCCTTCCTTGCCGATGCTATTCACAAGTCATTTGTCCTCGGCCTCAAGTGCGGCACCACTGCACTCGCCGCGCTTGCCAAGAACACGACTGCTTCTCTGACGTCGACCTACCTCGGCGGTTGTGTCGACACGTACAACTCCACTGTCCACGCTCTCCTGCGATAAATGCACTCTTTCTCCCGGTTCATATTTATTAAAATCTTATCTCAAGTACATAAAACTTGGATTCATGTACATACTTCAGCCCCTGGGGGCTTGTTCGGAGTCGATGGCGTATACTCCTCCGAGCCGAGCGTATATATATCACAGTGCCCATAAGCACTTCTGCTGCCTCTACCGCTGTCTTCACTTATAAACAGTGACTTCAAACTGATTCTTCTTCGAGCTTGTGATGATTCTACCATGATGCTATTGCAACTACAGTCTTTTGTTATACTACCATGTGTCAGTCATTACCTTCCCCCTCCACCGCGTCTGATCGACGACCCGCGCGATCAGCATCCACGAGCTACAGGCGCTTAGAGGTGATTAACCTTCTACGGTATTCATTATTGAGATTAAGATCTGATGATCTCTTTATACCAGAGATGGGCGTTGCCCGAATATCTCATCTCGGCACCCCAAGTTTCAAGCAATGTTATCAGGCCCTCAACCACCCGTATGAGCCCGACAGCTCAATGTTACATTGGTGCGCAGCTGAGAAGAATTAAGGTTACAACGTCGCCTTCTCCAAGACCATCAAACTCGGCAAGTCCATGGTGAACCATCGGATCCGACATCCTACCTTAGCCCAGCGTAGTCGGCGTCGGACCGCCTTGGATCCGGCGGGGGAAGCTAAACAAACTTGAACCACTCAAGGGTTCGACGTCATCACATCTTTGACAACACCATACGAAAGACTCATCAATCATCAGAAGAGGAAACACGCCAACTTAACTACGACAAGACCAACAAACCATTGCCTTCACTCAAAACCTCACCAGCTTAATCGAAACTCAATCACCCAAGCCCGCAAAGATGGCTACCACAGAGATCCCCAAAACAATGAAAGCAATCCGCGTAACATCCTTTAACAACCCCTACGAAATCCAAACAATCCCCGTTCCCTCTCCCACCTCTCTAGCCCCTCACGACCTCCTCGTCAAAATCGCAGTCGCATCTTACTGCCACACAGACAGCATGGTCTCCTCCGGCATCTTCGCCACATCCCTCCCCTGCACCGCATCCCACGAAGGCTCCGGCACCGTCGTCGCTGTCGGCTCGGCGTCCGCATCCTCAGACTTCAACTTCAAAGTAGGCGATAGAGTCATGTGCGGTCTCCCGCTTCATCCGTGCGGCTCCTGCTTCGACTGTAATTCTGCACCAGAGACCTTTCGGCAGTATTGCAGCCGCATCGAGGGCCACGTCGGGGTCCATGTGGACGGGTGCTTTGCGGAGTATGTCAAGGTCGACGCGCGATCTACCGTGCCGATCCCGGATGCCGTCTCGTTCCTCAGTGCCGCGCCGCTGGCGTGTGCTGGACGGACGGTCTGGAGGGGTGTGGTGCAGGCTGGGCTGAAGGAGGGCCAGTGGCTTGCGATCCTGGGGTCAGGAGGCGGGCTAGGTCATTTGGGGATTCAGATTGCCAAGGCTTTGGGCTTGCGCGTCATTGGCATCGATGCGCGGGACGAGGGGTTGGAGTTGACGAGGACGAGCGGCGCGGATGTGGTTCTTGACGCGAGGAAGAAGAAAGAAGATGTTGTGAGGGAAGCGAAGGATGCTGCGAATGGAGGGGAGGGTGTAGATGCCACGCTCAACTTGTCTGATGCGGATTCGGCTGCGGCTCTGGCTTGTGCGGTGACAAAGATGCATGGGACGGTGGTGCAGATTGCGCAGCCTGATGAGGTGAAGATCCCGTTCCAGGAACTGGTATTTCGGGATGTGAGGGTGAAGGGGAGTTTGCTGTGTTCAAGGGAAGAGAGCGTTGGGTTGATGGAGCATGTTGCGAAGAATGGGATCAAGCTCAAGACGAATGTCTTCCATGGGTTGGACAAGATTCATGAGCTTGTTGAGCTTGTGCACACGGGGCAGATGAGCGGCAAGGCTGTCATTGTGGTTGACGAGCAGCAGATGAAGAATGAGAAGAAGCTCGGTGCGAAGTTTTGATGATTAAATTAACGAGATCGCAAATGACCTCGCTCTTAATGCTCACAATTATGATACAAATGCAATACCCATATGTAAATCATGACTCTGCGGAGCGGTTGTGGTTGACCACGTCCCTCCGCTCCTTATCCCAAGGGCTTCCACCACGGTTCGTCGGGGTATCGGGCGAATGGCTCACAATCTTGGTATCGACCGGAGCCTGCCTGGGCTTCTCGTTATTCTTGCTGGAACTCGTGAAGAACCCTTGGATCTTAGACCCAATGCCTTCTCCCGAACTGCCACTGCTTCCAGAGGTACTAGGACCGTTACTCTTCCCGGTCAGTGCCCCCGTCAATGTACTCGACCCAGGTGTCATAGAAGGACCATGCGTCTCAATCGCCCGGGTGTTCGAGTTTGCCCTTCCTGGTCCGCCTCCAATCTCCCCAGCGTCAGAGGGGAACTTGTCCTTGGGACCCTTGGGAGTATCACGGTCGGCGCTGCTGCCGCCTCGATTGCCGGTGCTCAGCTCCGCGCCACCGGTGGCACCCGTGTTGGTGCCGATGCCTGCACCGCCGAGACCATTGTCGCGTTTCGCGTCGGCGGCTTTCTTGCGCTGCTCTGCGACTGCGTCGGAAGACGGGCGGGAGTTATCTGCGTTGTTTGCGATTTGTTGGGCAGGGTCGCCTGCGGTTGTAGAGGGCTTGCGGACGTAGTAGATGCCGCCTCCTAGAAGGGCTGCTGCGCCCATTAGGGGGACTGCGTAGTTTTGACGGGACATTATGTGAAATTTGTTCGATGTGGGAATTATGAGTTGTGTAGTTGTGGTGATTTGAGGTAGCAAACTACCTTCGTAGGAAAGTTGATTGGTAGAAGGGTTGATGGATGTAAGGTAAGGGAGGTAAGTATGGAATCTGCACAGCTTGTATGAATGAGCAAGCTCAGAGCTCAGCTTTGGTTTGCTGAGCTACCTGTGACGAGTCCATGGCATCATCCAAAGACCAGCTCTTTCGCTCCATGGTGTCTCATGCGAGGCGTAAATCGATGACAGCTTCTCATGTGGGCAATGACATCAGCATATGGTGCGAACGGTCCGCGCTTGCGGAGCTACTAGACATCCCATAACCGATCGGCAGGGACCAACTTGAATGATGAGGCCATGATTCGTCAATGGGGTTAGTCGCAGATTAGTCGCGGCCCATTCTCCAGAGAATGAGCTAGTAAGACACTTCCATCTGTGAACTGGGGATGAGGCTTGGTGCGAAATGGTGTGGTTGTTCAAGTGGAAGAACTTCTGCTCGAGAGGCGTACTCATGCCCTACGCGACGACAAGCAACCCCATGCTCTCTGTGTGGCAGAGATCGGATCGGATCGAATCTGACGCAGTGGACCGGTGCCGATCGTCACATTGCCGGCTCCAAGTGGGCAATCTGCGGGTTCTTGGCTCCACGCTCTACCCAGGAGCTCCGGTTTCTCTCCCGGACCGGCGCGGCATCGGATCGGATCAGAGTTCGATGCTCTTATTCAACCAGACGCAAGAAAATAATCCCATTTTCTCTATCCCTGGGTATCGCCAGTAATCGACTCAAGCCCCTCTCTTCAACCCAACACCCTGCTCCTCCATCCAACTCTTCCTCATCCCCAATCGTCTCCTCAACACCATACACCCAGCCCCCGCAACTGAAGCCGCGAAACAAAGCGCCTGCAAAATCACAAAACCCGTCCCAAACCGCCCATTGACATCCCCCTCCAGACCCCTCGGCCGGTTAACATATTCCTTCAGCAGCATCCCGTTCCCTCCCAATGTGAACGCCGGCAAAAACGCCGCAGCCGGCAACATAAACCAGCACCACCCGCGATACCGATCCCAAAACACCGGCGGCAACGCCTCAATTTCCGCTCTCGTCCCGCGCGGACACGGACACACGCGCTTGATACATGAGAAGTAGCACTGGCATCGCAGCCAGCTCGGCCGCACGGCGATGAGCAGCTCCGTGACGAAGAGGTAGGATACCACGACGAGCGCATATACGAGGGCGATGTTGGCTGTCGCGGTGGGGAGGATGAGCCACGAGTTGCGAAAGGCGCTGAGGAAGGGGTTGTTCTGGCAGGCGTCTTGGGCGAAGTGGTAGCATGCCCATTCGGACTCGGGGAGGCGGAGGGCGTGAGCGACGGCGCCGAAATCGTAGGGGAGGTGAGGGGATGAGTCGAGAGTGCCTGCGAGGGATTTTGATGGGTAGGTATAGGCGAAGGAGGCGGCGAATTGGTGCATTGTTACGAGGTAGGTGTTTGGGTTCGTTTGTGATGCGATGATGCCGTCGAACTGTGGGTTCGTGAGGGTCAGTCTATGTTGAAGAGTTCGCGATGATCAAGGGGAGCCTGCTGCTTACCTCCACTATAGCGAGGCTCGACAGCCCAAGACGTTGGGCACCGTTGCTGTCGCGGATTACCCAGGTGCCGGCCGTCAGAGTCAAGATCTGGACGACAGCGACGAAGAGGGCGAAAATGAACGCCAAAACGAGCAGCAACGGGCGCATGAGATGCCACCGACCAGGTGAGACTGGCTCTGATGGTGAATGATCCATTTCGGTGACTTTTTTACCCTCAGTCGTGGACGATCCAAATTGTCAAGCTCTTTGTTTCGCTGCCTGCGATGTGGTTGATGCAAAAGCCATTAACACTTGGAACCCCAGCGTTTACGACGCAGACGAGACTGTGAAGGCGCCGGTAGAACCAATGGTTTTAGCCTCAAGGGATACGGGTGATCTTAACTGATCATCTTTTGGCTGGTAGGGTCTCAGTCAGCTTCAGCTCGGGGGCTATGCTGTGCTGCAGCGGCGGAGTTCCTCGCGTCCTAAAAATGGTCATCCCAAACAAGCGTCGGGAAGGATTCCTAGTTTATTGGCCAAGTTCAACCATGCGGTTCGTATTTCGTCTTGTTCAAGAGATCATGGCGCCTTCAATCAAAAAGATCAAAATATGAGTTGTGTAAAAGCAGGCTCATAAGAAATGATGATCATGATCAAGATGGATGATTCGTCGCGATGTCCATGTGCGAGTGGTTCCCGCCACCGTTTGGGAGACCTCCCTGCCATTGCGCTGAGCGACCTAAATCGCCTCATTGCGGAGATCCGCTTTAGCATGTCAATGCCGCTCACATAAACTCACAAAATATAAATGGTGTTTGCCTCCCCCTCACGGATGAACTTCCCACGGCCTCGTGTTCACTCATAAGAATTGATTCTATGCAACATTCAGGCGTAGAATACCAGAAAGTTGGAATTTCATCAATACCTCGCGAGGCTTTTCAAAGTAGCACCCGTTGCTACAGCTAGGCTGCTCTCGCCAGTAAGATCTCAATTGTCGGAACGATCCATGACTACTTACCCAACGACGACGTATCCCGCCTCAAACGAAATATGCCCAGTCGTATCTTCTATATAATAGATCAAAATGGCTTGAGTTGTCATTGACACTTCAAGAACGGCTGGTACATTTTGCGCCAATAGTGCCACTGAACGGGGACAGGTGAGTCGTCCGGGCAGCTGTGCCTTGAACCTGGTGGAGCTTTCATTTAAGCTTACTGCCAATGCGGGAACTTACAGCAGGCTAAGATAGGCGTCATCCATGTGAGTTTCACAGCGTTCAATGCCTGCTCTATTGAAGCACGCCTCATGTTCGAGACTTCCTATCAATCTCGAAATGAGATGAGCATTCTCGCGGTATAGCGGTATGGATAATTGGCTTTCAAGGTGTATGGTGACGCCAGCTCAATGCAGATGTAATCGCTTACAAGAAAACACACGCTGTCATTTGACATCACGATGAACGCCCCTAGCTCGTGATTTCCTATGCTATCTCAACGGCCCTCATCTAGAGCAAGACGTGTCGAATTAGAGCTTAAGATTTTCAAGAAGACGAAAATGTTTTTATTACAAGGGTTTCAATGGATATCTCGTCTCAAACAACATCCCTTTTGCCGCTCACCAGGGCGGCCGCGGAAGTTCCCCTTTACCATCTACCGGCCAATCATTACATAACTCCTTAGAGCTACGAGAAAGACTCTCACGACGTCTTCCACTTCTCAAAAGACTTGAACACCGCCAACCCACAAACACCCGCCGTCCACCACCCGTCCCTCTCCAACGGCACACTCGGCCCAACATAGACCTGCCGCGGATGAACCAGCGCCATCTTCGCCAGATCCAGCAGCTTGACAGAGTTCCGTGACAACAACGCCCAAACATCGTCGAACAAGACCGCACCGAGCACCCTCACAGTGCCGTCGAACTTCCAGTCCCGCCTCATCGTCGGTCTTCCAGCTGCATCTCGAGACGGCCTCCTCTCCCTCGTTGACGGATCTCTGTCCTCCCTATCCTCGTCATCCGGCTTGGCTAGCAAGACAAAAGAACTCAGGTCGCCACGGGGAATGACCGGTTCCGCGTCATCTTTGACTGGGTGCAAGTATGAATCGATGGACGCCTTGTCCGCGACCAAAAAGACGCCTCCGCTGAGAGTCATGAAGCCTTCGCACGCCGGAGACTTGCTATACCCCTGATAATGTCTGTCCACTTGTCAGCAACCCAAGCTCACACCATACTCCCAATCAGCGGGGTAACTCACCTCTTCGCCGCCTCGACGTCGCCCTTGGGAATCCCATGCTCCCGCCCATCAATCCATCTCACCTTGCACATGGGCTTCACATCACCAGCCCCATCAACACCCTCTCCCCACGCCGTAACATCATCCTTGAACTTCCCAAGAAACGCCTTCCACTCCTCATCAGAATGCTCATACGACACACGATACCCAATATAACCCCAAACCCTAAACGGTCGATGAGTCGCCGTCTGCATAATCCCCTTCACACCAGCAATCCACGGCTCATCACCCACCTCCGGCACCGCCCCTCGCAACTCCCTCCTCGCCTGCTCATACTCCCTCATCTGCGCCCGACACGTTGCCTCCAAACCCCTCGGATCAGACAAGGCCGGCACCTCCCTCCCCAGCCTGACATTCTCCATCGCGCGCTGAACCTGCGCCGACCGACTGAGATACCGGCACCGGATCCCGTAGATCCTGGAGCGGAGCCGCATATCATACGGATACGCCGTCATCGGCTCCCGCCCGTCATACCCGTTCCAATTATCCCTCAGCCTCGGCGCCGCAGAGGTAAGAGTGCGGAGGGTATACCCCCACAACGGCACCATAATCTTCGTATCCGCCTTGTTCGTTATCTCGGTGAGGTCGTGAAACCGGTCCAGGATCTCCATTTGCGCCGCAGACGCCGGGCCATCGGACACGGGTGTGGTCTGACGCAGCTGGAGCAGAAGAGCCTCTTTCAGCTCCCCTATCCGCGCCATTACCCACGCGTGCGCTCTTGCCGCTATGGTACTGAAAAAGTCCACGATATACTCCTCCCACAGCGCCGTCACGCTCACCGGACCCCCGCGCCCCTTTCCCCTTCTATACGCATTCAGAGCCTTCTCAAAGTCGTGACACGCATTCCAGACACCATTACACCCCTTCCGCATCCTCTCCTCATTATGCGGGAGGTTAAGATACTCGAACGAATCCACTACAGCACATAGATGCTGACACGCGCGCTGAATGTTATCCAGCTCATGCAAACCCTTCTGGCGCCACCTCGCAATCGACATGGGCGGCGCGCCGCAGAGCAGACGGGTCTTCATGTGGTGCAGATCGCGGTCGCACTCCGTGCTCGTCGAGGTGACGATAGAGAGCATGTCGCCGAAGCCCGAGACGGTGGTCATGGCTCTG